GTTTTTTTTTTTTTTTTTTTTTTTTATACCTGACAGGCAAATGACTCTTGTTCTATGTTTAAGACTTAAAACACCAGTAAATTTAAAAAAAACTGGAAAAGTAAAAAGCACTAGTGCGAGAAATCCAACTTTCCGCACGATTTGTAGTGCGAAAAATACCACGTTTTGAGCAACTGTATTAAAAACAATTATTTTAATTTCGTATGAATTTCGAGAAAACAATTTTTTTTTTGTAAAATATAATTGCGCATTTCACCTCTATCTCACCTTATGGAAAGTGACGATGAGGTCGACGATGGAGCATGCACACCTAAATAATGCCTCTTCACTTTCGCCTTGAAAAGACCCAAGTTATAACGTTCAGGGAACAAGTCTACAGGCAGGGAATTGCACTCCATAGTCGTTCGCCATATAAATGTGGAAGCGTAACGCTTCGTGCGAATCTTTGGAATATCCACAACATAGGGGTGGAACCCAACCCTACGCCTAGTCCCCCGGTGATGGAAAGGGGAAGGCGGAATTAAGTCGTGTAATTCCATAGCATACTCTCCGTGATATATCTTGTAAATTACCGATAAGCAGGCAACTTTACGGCGGTGTTCAAGGCTCTGCAGCTTCGACTCTACTAATTCCGAGTCACCTATAAGCCTCTTGGCACGGTTTTCAATTGAATCCAAAGTGGCCAGGTGACATGTAGCAGAGCCATCCCAAAGGTGGCAGCAGTACTCCATACACGATCGGCCTTGTGCTTGGTACAGCTGAAGCAACTATCTCGGTGTAAAGTAACGCCTCACCCTGGAAAGGATCCCAAGCTTCCTTGCTGCATTTTTGGCCTTCAATTCCATGTATCTGCCGAAGTTCAAATTGGAAGACAGGTCCATTCCAAGTAGCTGGAGACAGTCGGCTATTGGTATGGATATATCACGAAAAGTCGGAGTCAGCTCAAAGGGACTCCGTTTTGTGGAAAATAGACACGCCTGCGTTTTGGTAGCGATTTTAACAAGATTGGCATTGCCCCAATCGGAGACTGCCTGGAGTGTCAAATTTAAACGGCTAACCATGGATTCTCGACAAGTCTGGATTTCCTCTCCACTGACCCTTGCATTGGTCAAGTACCTATCTACAACTGTGCTGTCACCAGCATACACAAAGGTGCCTGGAATTAACATATAATTGATATACAGCAGAAAGAGAGTTGCAGACAGTACGGAACGGTACAGAACCTCTTTTTGGCGTAAGCGAACTGGCACCATAGTGCAGCCAGCCTGAGGTAAAGTAGGTGGTAGGTTCCCTAAGGCATCCAGACGCGAACTCTCTGCAAAGAGTGAGGCAAAGAGATTCACCTTCTCTTCCGCAATAAAATAAATGCAAGCGAGTGTGTGCCTCATGTTTTGTAATACATTGCGGCTTTCACTTGGTGCGATATATGTATTTGTGATCCTTTGTTAATACGCCATGAATATCGAGCGAATGCAGTTTTGTATAATGCATTCAGTTTCATGGTACGGCCGCTTGTACATTTTTTGACCAAATTTAACATTTAGTGATGGATACGTTAGGCAACACTGTTCTTGATTCTGATCGATTTTGAAAAAAAGGGACAAAAATTATTATAACCTCAGCAATGTTATAAAAATATTCTATAACTTTTTGTTCTAACGTTTAGTAACGTTTCGTTTTTTTTTCCGTTTTGTAGTACCTATTATCAGTAGTATCTGTAATTTCGATAACTTTTGTAATTTCGATAACCTCGAATGTCCGAATATAGTGAGCAAATAGCAATACAAAAAATAAATAAAATGCGAATAATGTAACAGTGCGTTGTATTTACGAAAACCTGGAGTTGGACGTACGTATGAGTCATTGCTTTCAAGGTCCAAGGTGGTCTAGTTTATCCCACCTAAGATGCTATCCAAATTTGCAGAGTTGCAGAGTTAGATATCCGAGAAATATTAAACAAATCACAAAAATTTACTGACTACACTTAGTATATTATACATACGCCTGTAGAAACAGTACACAGGGTCACTTTGCTTTTTAAATATAGAGTAATACAGTTCACGCATGTGAACTGGAAATGTCACATACAAAAAATTAAGAAAAAGTCTCACTACTACTAGTTTCACGTACGCACTGAGGGAGATAAAGAAAACGACTGACCTAATAACTGCAATGGTCGCTTATTATGCTACACTAATTCCCACCTAAATTACGGAATTATCCTTTGGGGAAATAGTATGCACGCACGAGAAATATTTACAATCCAGAAAAGATGCATGCAAATTTGTAAATTTATTAAACAACACCCTGACTTTTATACTAATATTGACGACATGCCTCAACAACACACTTTGAGACCAAGCAATAGATTGCTGCTGACATGATCTCAGCTACACATACACAGTTCAAGTCCCCACTCGATGTCGGTGAGGATATTCAAAGAGCTCCCGCCCATTATTAAAAACGAGGAAAAGTATTCACTGTTTGTAAATAAATTAAAATTACATCTTATCAATAAATGCTATTACAATTTAAATGAATACTTTGATGACAAATAAAAATAATAATATTGTAATAAATTTGAGTAATAAATAAACCTTAATTATATACTATAAATCGAGTTCTTAGGTTTTCGCGATTGTTACACATACGAAATGAAACTTTTAAATCGGATTGCCGGAAAACCGGATTTAAATCGCGTATATTTGTTTTTTCAAACAAACCGACGTTTCGGGCCCTTTACAGGTCCCATGGTCACGGTTGACTGAAGTGGTACAGTCTTCAACCAGTTATGTCTAATATTGATGCAAACGACCCTATTTTTTCACTATAGTTACAATAGTTATTTAATTAAATATCTTATTTTTAATTTCACAAAGAAAACAGTGTAGCGTAAATTGGAATGGTCACCAAATATACGCGATTTAAATCCGGAAAAATAGTTTCATTTCCTATATATACTATAAAGTTATGCTATTGTATAGATTACATATTTTATTAATATTATTATTATTTTTTATTAAAATTAATATTATTAAATTCAAACTTTCAAGTGACATAATTCTGCTTATTATATGACGTATTTCTTATTATGTGACATATTTTTTATTTTGTATTATTATTTGTTAAATAACAATTCTAATTAATAATTGAAACCTCGGCCTACCTCTGCTCTTATTGTTATCCCTAATAAAGGGCTCACATGTGTGTGTAGCATTATTTTAATTTTAAGACATGTACCATGAATGCAATAAATATATTGAGTGTTGAGTATGTCACACGAGGGTGTCATTAAGTAAACCTCTTCTGATTAATAAGATTTTACCATATTTTGTCAGCAGTAACATTTTCATTTGTCTTGTCATTCATCAATTTGATCAATTACCAACAGAAAACCATCTAGTAAAATTAATTAAGGCAGTCGCAAGTTCATATATTGACGTGCGTTTTCATTATTTAAGTTAGTCGATAAGATCTTCTATTACAAAAAGATGTTCAAAATTTTTATGTTTGAAGTCGATTAAAATTCAGTCTTGATTTTTTTAACTAACCAACATTTTTAAAAACAAGTTTTAATAAATGACATTAATATCTTATTCTAGTATTTTTCTACTATATTAGTATTACGACTACTTTTATTCAACAATTACATCAACAAAAATTATTCTATTTAGAATCAATTAATTGAATGGAATACGCGTATTTACGCGTGTTCCGTGCAATCAATCGATTTAGAGCGAAAGGAGGTTTCCCATCACTAAATAGTTCTTGTGACGTCATAATAGGTACAAAAATGTGGCACGCTTGGTTTTCATACAAATTGCTGTACTTCATTTTTTGTTTGTCTTTGAGTATGCGATTAAACTGTCAAAGTAGCTAAAGTAAACTATAAACAAACTTTCTAGGATGATCCTTGTGAAACTTCATTAGTCGTTTTCATAGCCACTCAATCTTTGGGCGCGCGACGCATATATCATTGTGACGTTTATAGCTTTTTTATGTGTTTACATTACATAGGGCGCACTATAAGTTTCCGGAACTGGCCACTTACTTAAACAATATTTAAAAAGTAATTACAACATTTGAAAATGGAACTCTATGGCTGTAGAATACAGTTTGTTTCATCTGATTGTCACTTGTTTTTACATTGTGACGTCATCTTAGAAATTGGTTGTCTACATCACCATGGATTTAACTCGTGAAAATTTTCGTAGTATGATTTTCTACGACTTTAAGTGTAATTTAACAGCTCAGCGGAGCTTCGCCTGACTTCAAACTGCTTTTGGCGATGAAGCACCATGCAAGATGACTGTTCGCGGTCGTGTGAATCTCAGTGACAAATTTCGTCCACTGTTGTGAACAACAAAAACATCGATGCTGTGCGCCGTATGATTAAAACAGACAGGCATGTGACACACCATGAGTTTCGGGTATGTTTAGGCATAGGCATGAGTCAAATACAATCACTATTACACAAACATTTGGGTGTGAAAAAGCTGTGCTCTCGGTGAATCCCACACACCGACCGAGGCTCAAAAAACGAATCGCGTCACTTGGTGCCATGCCATGCTTACCAGATTCAACGAAGGGGCGTCAAATTTGGTGTGGGACATAGTAGCAGGTGACGAAACATGGATTTATAGTTACTATCCCAAAACAAAGCAGCAATCGAGCGTATAGGTCTTTCGAGATGAGCCGAAACCAACCAAAGTCGCGCGCGAGCAAAGTGTCTCTAAGCGGATGATTGCTTCTTTTTTTAATAAAACTGGATACGTGGCTAATGTTGCTTTGGAGAATCGTTGTACCGTGAATAGTGATTGGTGCACGACCATTTGTTTGCCGGAAGTTATTGACAAACTCCGTAAAAATAACCGTAAACGCCGTACCATCTTGCACCACGATAATGCCAGTTCTCACACGGCCGGACAGACAAATTATATTTTCGAAGGTGACTAACGTTGATCTTATGAGCCATCCCGCGTACAGTTCCGATCTGGCACCTTGTGACTTTTATTTATTTCCAAAAATTAAGAACCAGTTACGCGATCAACGGCATAATTGTTTTCAAAATTGGTTCATTCGTATGGAAAAGTGCATTAACGCAAACAGAGAATATTTGGAGAAACAATAAATTCATTTCTGACCATTTATAGTATTTTTTTCTTATTTATTCCGGAAACTTATAGTGCGCCACACGTATAAGCCGCGTGTAATATAAACACTTCAAACTCGAGATCCAATTAATCTACGGTAAAAATAACATGAACGATAAGAGCACTTGAGTAGCTTTTGTTTAGACTACAGTTATGATTGTAATACGACTTTATTTGCTAACTTCCGAGTACTCTGAATACTTCTGAGAAATTTTCATAGTGTTTTACGATTTAACTCATAACCACTTTGTATATTCATTGTAATAAGAAACAAAATATATTTAAAGGTGACGAGCATTTAAATACTTATCGATTAACACTAGAATCATGTCAATAGTTTTTTTCTTTTTACTATTCATTTTACTATATTTAAAATAAATTAAAAACAATCCCGGGTAGTGGCGAAATTCGCGGAAAATTTGCGAAAATGGCGTGAAAAACTACAGGACTGTTTGTCTGGACAGACCTAAGACAAAATCTTAGGTCTGTATGAATTAAAATTTATATACGTCGTATATTTGAAATAAAAGTTAAAAATCAATTTAAATCAATTTCCTGTAGCATTACAAGAAGTACAATGGCGTCAGTGTAGCACCAAATGAGCGATGTGTGTTATAATCGCATGCTTTTGATCACACTCGAGCTATTGACCGATTGTCATACACCCGAGACACGAACCTTGGACTGTATAAAAGGAAGGTTTAACCGTTTACATAAACTGTTAAAAATGAAACAATGCTGGTAATCGAAACTCTATTCCCGCGGTGGACAATAAAAGTAGTTGCAAACATGTCGACTTTGTTTGCGTGATATTCCATTTGCTGTGAAGTACAGCCGTCACATTTCAAACGTCTTTAAGAGCCGCCAGTGCATTGTAGACTCGCGCGGTGGACGGAGCATTCACGTTATTTTGTAAGTGCTAAAATTACAACGGTTTCTACAAGGCTCAATTTTGCGTTTCTAACTATAATGTTTGTGGCCATCTGTCTAACATTAAGTAATGTAAATTTCACATAATTCGTTTTTTTCTCATTAACGAATAGGTTATAAGTGCAAACCAATCTACAACTTTAGATATAGCATTGTTCACATCGCTATAGGAACATTGGTGCCTTTTAACTTTTCATAATAAAGAAGTACCATCAGAAAACAATACTTCTAATTTTCTATTATACCCTTCACGAGACTAGTCATTAATACAAAGTAACAATAAAAATGAACCTAAAACTGCACTTTGAGGGACGCCCATGCAGACTTAAATGATCTCATACCTCTCTGTACCTTATCACTCAAATACGATTTAAGAAAGTCGAAGTTACGGGCAAATTTGCAATATCATAATTGCAAAACTTCCTGATCAGAATATATTGATGCATACACGCAAATGTCTTGGAGTGGTCACAGAATATACCAACAGCATCATGCTAGTCTTCCCATGCATTAATATACAGGGTGAAATTGAAAAGAAGCTACAAATTTAAATACATAATTTTCCATGTCACAAATAAAATTTAGATTTGTTAAAATTTTATTTTATTTTACTGGAACGCAGTTAATTCGTACGTAGCAAGTTTTCAATTCATATATGTTAATTAACTCAACACCAGCATCGGTTGTACAGCGACCCCGAGTGAAACCAAATTAAATTTATTTATTATTATAAATTTACACTTGAAAACGTCACATTTAAGCTACTGCTCGTTCACCTCGCTGACCTCCCTGAGAAGAACGAGCAAGAAACTCTAGGGATTGCGCTTTTTAAATAAGCATAAATGCTATGGAATACACTTTGAATCAAATTTGTGTGGATTCTGGAGCCATGTCGTCTTTCCATACATCTTTATCTAACACGTAGTCTTCAATTTTATAATATGATTTTTCGATCAAAATATTTTTAATGTAGTTTTGAAACTTAGGAAATGATAAATTTAATATATGCTCCGGAATCTTATTGTAAAAACGTATAGAGTTCCCCATAAAAGAGTCGTTTACCTTGGTTAAACGAAATCGTGGTACCATGAGTTTGGACTTAGCTCTAAGGTTAATATTATGGATATCTTCTTATTGAAATTATGTATATTTTTACGGGCATATAAAATATTTGAGCAAATGTACTGTGATGCCTCAGTCATGACACCAGTCTCCTTAAACTTTTCTCTGAGAGAAACCCGAGAGCCTAGACGGTACACAGAACGAATCGCTCGTTTTTGCAATACAAATGTGGTTTGAACATCTGCCGCTTTACCCCACGTGAGAATCCCGTAGGACATTATACTATGGAAGTAACTAAAGTAAACTAGTCTAGCAGTACTAACATCGGTAAGCTCACGTATTCTGCGGACTGCGTATGCAGCGGTGCTTAATCTGCTGGCCAGGGATGATATATGTGGAAACCATTGAAGTTTACTATCTAAGGTCACTCCCAAGAATATTGCTTTATTAACAAGGTCTGACTTTTCTCCGTTTATTTCTATGCTTGGACTAGTCGATTTTAAATTTAACACATTCTGTCTTCTTGGCATTAAGCAATAAATTGTTAGCATTAAACCAATAAACTACCTTAGACAGGGTATCATTAATATGGTCAGAGTTAAAACAAAGTTAAGTTAAACTACAGTTAAAATGAGCACACATCTGATTTCGATTTAAAAAAATCTTTTATTGAGAGTGTAGCAGTTTTTCACTTAAACTGCAAATATAAAACATTAAAACTAGAATTTTGCTTCATTCACTGTTTTGTTTGATTTGACACAACCAAAACAAATAAGTACCCTCACTATTTTTAATACAGGGAGACTCCCTAAATTTTTCTTTTTGTGTGCTAGTAAGTCTTTTTAGTAAAATAACAAATTGATCGGTTAACCAATAGTTATATTACCGGTTCTTCATATCAACATATTTATGTATGGTTGAGATTTGACCTTCTAAAGGTCGTATTACTCTCGTCCATGACCACCGTTTCGAAAAGATGCAAATTCCACAGAGGGGGGTTCGCCTATAAGTAGGTCCCCCGCCTCTGGTCCTTTTTTTTTCATCTCATTACTGTGCTGCTGAGTTAACAAATAATTTGTGTAAAACTACTCCTGCGCACCCCAAACTTGGGGTCGTACCACCGGGCTACGGAAATTGGTGGGGTCTGAATTATTACCAGATTCAAAAGGAGGAATAACTTTGTTTTGCCTCATGAAATCAAGAAACACACTATCATCAACACATTTGTTAAAAACATATGTCTAATAAGGCGCAATACAATCAACACACACTATAAGTTCCAACAAAATTATCGAAACATTTTAATGTTCATGTACAATCCAAGCAATTATTGTTATAGGGTCCATCTTTTCTCGGGAAATAAACCTCGTTGTTCCATATATTTCGATCGAGTACGTATGAAAAGTTAATTTCCTAGTATCATTTAAATTTGTAGCACCATGTATATACTTTCAAATCGTTGTTCTCTTTATACTCATTTTTACATTGTTTTCAGGTAAAAAGATGCGGTTATTTGTGTTAATGCTTTTTATTGCTCCAATACTCTCGGCCACAAACAATTTCACCAAAATTGTTTACACCGGGAACCATGACATTATCAGAATTGTAGTACCTATTAACATCATCAACAACCATAGGAGTGGCCAAGCTACTGTTAATAGAGGGCTATTTTTTTTCTTTGTGGAAGCCGACCTTTCAAACGGTAAAGATTATAAAGGACTCTATGTTTTCAATAACGGCACAGTCACCAAATTATTAGACGATGGCACTGATGTAACAACAACAAATAATGAAACTGACCAAGCTTTCTTTGCAACTAAACGTGGCATATATGTATATAACTACGAAAAGAATACAGCAAATAAATATGGCAATTTTAATGAAGACCTAATTAGTATTGCCAATGTGAAAGGGAATGATGCAATTTTTGTTCTTACGAAAGATAAAAAGGTCTTAAAAATTGTTGATCATGGTAATAAGAAAATTAAGACAAACTTAGCAAATGTCGACCAAATAATGCTTGATTATTCAAACAATCTTTACTTTTTAATTGGGAAAGACCCTTATGTAGTAACAGCAAGAGGAGTTAAAAAAGTCGAAGGTTTACCTGCAAATCCAAATTACGTTGGGCTCGCAAACGATGTAGTGTCTGTGGACGAAGGAGTTCTTTTTATATCGGATAATCGCATTTTTGAGATTGCCAAAAATGGTACTGCAAAAAAATTTACTAAAAATGAATTCAATGAAATGAATCAAGGTAATGAATTCAAAGGCACACCTACAGCGATTTCCATGGAGGCAATTATAGTAAACTACTATGCTTACGATAAAAAAATCTACGAAAGTTATGTAACAGAAGCCTATTTCTCTACAATAGACTCAGCAATTGAATCCTTTTTGGAGAAGTTTGGTATAACTCTTTAGTACGGAAATACGTGAGTTTGAAGCACACGGAAAACTCAATACTCCACTTATACAGATTGTAACAATGTAATTTTCCATATTTTCTATACACTGCGCATTTTTTTCATTAGAAAAGTATCATTTCTTACCACAACAACACAAAGTTGTTGCGAAATCGTGAAATTGATTAGACTCTACTACTTTTCGAATGTAAAGCAGATTCTCCTGAGAACAATGATCAGAAAACTCTTGTGGTTGATCTTTGGAAATTAACATTTGGACACATTTTATCATTTACAATATTTGTTTGAAACATAACAAACAAAACATATGATAACAAACTCCTAGAACTAAACAGGTCGCTGTATAAACTCACTACTATGGATTTTTGTCATCCAAGAGACAGAAGGAACAATAAATATCCAAGTACGCAAGAAATGGATATTAACCTTTAGTTTATATAAAATTTTGTTTTTACTATGTATTTTTTCATGAAAAAAGTGAAATTTTTTTTATCGTGAATATGTATTTTTTACTAAAGTTCTTTCCCAAGCAGCACAAAGTTGTTGCGTAACTGCTTTGGAGCCGACTTGATTATTTCCCTTGACGGTAGACGTAAGCGATAGAGCTTGCTCAGGTCTGCAGTCGTAGTGCAACATTTTTCACCGTATTACAATATTCTTTAGAATTCTGACTGAACATTGGTTCAACAATTTTGGATATAATATTCGGATGTACCTTTACTATTAACTGTAATGAGCTTTACAATACTTTTCTCGTTTGGCACTTCATTGCCAGTATCCGTGAATATGACGATCGATAAGGCCGGCCTTGAAAATATGCATTTCCAACAGCAATTATGTGCTACTGTCATCGTACGTATTATCCTTTACGTGTACTTTATTATCGGAAACTCATTTTTACCGGGAAAGATGCGCACGATCCTACTAAGCATTTCAAAATTGTCCTTCTTGATACTTGAGTGAAATCAGTCTGAGTATATTGTCAGAGGTCCTAAGTATCTGCATTTTAACCTACTCCTGCGACCATCCCTTTTAAAAATATTCGATTCGATTGTAGCGAAGCAGGCGATGATGAGCAGCTTCCGTTGAGTCCTAGCAGGCTGGCGCAGTTAAGGGTCTTCGTATGAGGAAATGGGGTGGACTAAGTGAGGTAAGGTCATTGGGATCTGCGGGCAGAAGTGACATTGGTCGGCTGTTGAAGACAGCTGCATTAGGTACAACGTTAGGTAAAACAACTGTTTTACATTCCAAAAGGTTAGTTGTTAACCTGAACTACTTACTCTGAGTAAGTACGTTTAAGGCGAGGCCCCTAGATACTTAGGGTCGTATTCTAGAACTCTACTCAATGCTCAAGTCAGAATTTGAGTATGGTTTAAAGCACTCGAAATCATACTCAACTCCCTGCCATTAGGGTCGTATTTCCAGTGCTTGTGTTTCAATTGCAATCCTGACTTGAGCATTGAGTAGAGTTCTAGAATACGACCCTTAGTGTCGTATTCCAGAACTCTACTCAATACTCAAGTCAGGACTTAAGTATTGCAGTGAGCACTGAAAATCACACTTAAGGCCTTGCCATTAGGGTCGTATTTCCAGTGCTTGAAATCATACTCAAGTCTGCTCAAATCCTGACTTGAGTATTGAGTAGAGTTCTGGAATACGAGCATTAATCTGCAGAGGTCTCCTTGCCGTTTGAGTGTAAAAAGATTAAGTCACCGGTTAAGGCGGAACGAAAAGCTTTAGTAAGTGCAGGGCCAATATGTAACCAAACTACGGTGGAGTGCATCCAAAAATTAAAACGTTCAAATTTTCATTTGCACCTAATAATTCTAATCTAGAAATACTTTTAGAGTCGACATTTTTTTGGTACAAAGTATCTTCTTTCACCGATATGAAAGGATTGACATCGTTAGTTCGTATATAAGCGCATCAACCATAAGTAATTTGGGATGCGTCGGAAAATATGTGGAGTATGTCGCATGTGCTCATTTCCTATGGTTAGCAAATTGTCCAGCGCACCAATTAATCTGGGATGAGGAGAGAGTGATTACTAAGCTTTCGGTCTGGTTAAGTAATGTATGTTAATGCTTGGTCATAATTTCTATCTTATCATTACTGTTCGTTAAGTAGCCTAGAATGTTATCAAGGTGAGTCACCGAAGAGAAGCAGGAAAAACTAATCAGATGATTTTCTGTTTTTCCCACACCACCGAATGGAACAGCCCCTCATTGTTAGAGATATTATCTTTATTACAATAAATACAGAATATTTTTGGAATACACGAGGACGTACACACAGGTCAGTTGTTGGCGCTGTACTATTTCAGCTTTCTAATTTGTGATTTCTGCGCAAACGCGAGTTGATATTTAAAATTGATATAAGGCCCATTTGCCTGATGGGTTGCCAGGGATGGATGGCCCTTATTTCGTCTCTATTTCTGGTTATATACTAGATGCCAGATTGCTTTCAAATTTTATTTCAAAATTAAATTAAATTTATGCTCATCTCCTTTTCTTCTTCATTTCCACAACTCTCATCATTTGTGCTCATCCAGGTGCTTCCTTCATTTCTTTCAAACGAACTTTCAAAATATTGGTTCTATTTGCTAAGCGTACGTTCACCTTCTTTTACAATATTTCCGTGTCACAGCTCTATATTTGTTCAGGGCGCGTCTGTATGCGGTTGCATGCTTTAATAATTAAAGAAAATTCCTCACAAAGGTTTTATTGTCTTTATTATGTAAATTTCAAGTCATTTGTACTTCAACAATTCAATAATACAAGGCTTGGATATTAAACAATACTCTATATTTTAAAATATTATTAAAATTTACGTAATGTTCCTTTGATGGAGTTTCTATAATAAGAAACGTGGAGGCGTTTTGCCTTCACTCCACTGTCACGTTATAGGCGATTTAATAGTGTCCACGTTTCGTTAAAGACATTAGAGTGCCGTGTGTGTGTAACAGTGTCTATGCGTAGGTAGGTTTCGGTTTTTTTTAATACCAAACTTTGGTATTACAAAACGTTGTCGTTGTCCAAATACCAGAAGAGAAATCCTGTCCTTTCCTTTCTTCAAGAACTGTATCTGACGTTTAATATACGATTTTACTGTTTTCAAAAGCGAATATTTCCTACTAATCGTCGCATTCGCTTTTAACCGACTTCAAACAGATGAGGTTCACAATTGACAATTTTTTGTGTGTGTAAATAGATTTCGATGATTTTTTTTTTGTTGAAAAGGGGATACCTCAGTAGTAATGGGACCACCATTTAAATTTGAAAAAATATTCGACCACCAAGGGTAGAAAATTAGGGGACGAAAACGTAGCAGTAGAGCTCCTTGTGAAAGAGTTCGTCCAGAGAAGTACTGCCACGCAATATCAGCATTACTGTGTTCCGGTTTTGAAGGGTAAGGGTGCTGGTGAAATTACAGGCGCATGGGACTTGTCAACTTATGTCTTAATGTGACGGGTGCAGTGGCAGTGCCTCTCTTAAAGCTCTGAGGACACTGCAACTGTTATGGACAGGCGTGTAGCTTACCATTAGGCACACGACTTGTTCATCCCATCACTTGATATTAGCGATTGCCACGAATATTCGGCTACTATCCAGTATTCGGCTTATTCGGCCACTTTTTCAATATTCGGTATTCGGCCGAATACCTAATACTGAAAAAACTACATGTTATTCAAAACGTATCATGTGTTTAATCACAATATATTGCTTTAATAATCAATCAGTAGCAGGTTGTGGTGAATGAAAATATTTTTTTCAGAATTGGTTGGTAACAAGCGATTGCGCTTTTCCTCATAAACAATTATTTCTTCTAAAAATAGTCTCTCACTATACACACTCCTGTCAGGAGACGATAGATAAATGGCAATGACAGGCTTGGATACTGCTTTGCGGTTACTGACCACCACCTGTAAGGATCTGCCGTCCGATCTAGGCGAACAGTTTTCAAATAAAAATCAATATCATGTGCAATAAAACTTTTCTCCACAACCTCATCATTTTACATATTATCTGTAGCGACTTCTTCAACAGGTCCAGAAACTGTCATGTATTGATTCTATCGTTTTATAATTTTTCAACAAAAACACTGCATCCCCGTTACCTCCGCACGCAGTGCAATGTGACAAGTCGTAACAGATCGCGCATGAAATAAAAAGATCTTACGCCGAACATTCAGCAGAATATTCGGCGCTTCGGCCGAGAGCGTGGCCGAATATTCGGCCAAATCACTATTCGTGGCATCGCTACTTGATATTATAAAAAAAATCCCAGCGCATTCACTCAGGGATACCTACTAGCCAGAACACGCACAAATTTATGCATTTTTTTTTCTAGTGAGCTATGTTGATGACAAGCAGATGGTATCAATCAAAAAGGATGTCGTTGTTCATAATCTGCATTATTATTTTATTAGCATGTAATGTCACAGTTAACGGAGTTCTAGATGAGCAAGGAGACATATATGCTACAAGGTATTTAACTTATTTTTCTGTTAACCTTGAAGGACAGTTGTTGTCAGGCTTCTGATCCACGTCGCCTTATATAAAACCACTAGCGCGGTGCGTTCATCATCATTAGTCTTTTGCAGACAGCCACTCCTTCCGGTCAGAGGGCGTCCTACGCTACCGGTTGCGTTACAGGATTTTGTACGTTTGGTATTCTGCTAAAAGTTAAGAGTTAAAGGGTCGTATTCCAGAACTCTACTCAATGCTCAAGTCAGGATTTGAGCAGACTTGAGTATGATTACAAGCACTGGAAATACGACCCAAATGGCAAGGACTTGAGTGTGATTTCTAGTGCTTTGAATCATACTCAAGTCTTGACTTGAGCATTGAGTAGAGTTCTAGAATACGACCCTTAGCCATCAACATCGAGTATAACCAGAAATAGAAACGAAATAAGGGCCATCTATCACTGGCAATTCAACAGGCAAATGGGCCTTATATCACTTTTAAATATTAACTCTCGTTTGCGCTAAAATCACAAATTATAAATCTGAAATAGTACAGCGCCAGCAACTGACCTGTGTGTCATATATGATAAAGATATCTATATCTATAACAATGCGGGCTGTTCCATTTGGTGGTGTGGGAAAAACAGCAAAACATCTAATTACAAAACAAACGGAATCACATTTCATTGGTAATTAAATATTAAATATGTAATTTTTCAATTTTCGTCCATTGTAACAAATCTCAAGTTAAACTGGTCGATTTGAAGTGAAACAATTGACGACACCCGTCAATTGCTTCGAACTCGGGCTGGCCAATCGGAGCGCAGTTGTCACCGTAATGATTTGGCAGAAAAATTTTCAAACACATTAAATGACATTTCGTCTCTATGTCTGTTTATATACTCGATGGCCATCGAGCTACTATTCAACTGCCATTGCAATTTTTTAGTATTCTGCTCTTCAATGGCACGTCGATAATGTAGTTTACTAATTATTTGACATAAAAAAATGCATTCCATTTTCAGACTAAATTGCTGCTTAAATGAGATAAAAAATAGGATAAACATTGATGTGCAAAGTAATTTCCGTTGTAGTTTTGGTACAGCCACATCAATCCTTAGTGATTGAGTAAATTCATGTCATCACTGCCATTCCACTGACGCTCTATTGAGGCTCAACTGCCCTTGCAACTAGATTACAATATGATCTCACTCGGCACCCTGTGCACGATCACTTCACAGTGCAACAGAAACTGAGGAGCCGGAATTTTTTTGTCAAATGAGTCGATCCTCTGAGCATTGAGCCGAAGGTCTTCCTTCTGGATACGAATTGCCATGGCCGATCTAGAGGTCTTTAAATAGGCTTCGGACTCTAGTTGGTCGGAGTAAGGACAATTCGTTCAGGTGGGAATTTTCGGATGGTTCTAACCAGCAGGTCGATTCAGAACCTTACGATAACTCAGTTGTCAACCGATTCGATTAGATATCTTTTCATTTTTATTCACAATAACCGAATCGAACGTCAAACTGTCGCATTCGAAACCGAACCGAAATGACGTCACACCCATTCGATTACTCGTACTTCTTTCTTACAACCGTTATTCAGAACACGGTTATCGAATGAAAGTTACCGACCGTTGTATTGTTTACAAAGCAAGAATGTGATATGGAAATCTTTTGTTATTTTAAATAGAATCTGGATTTTGTTCAATTTTATTAATTTATTTTAACGCGAGGCTGATGCATTCCTATATTTTAGACCTTTAAAGTGTTAAAAATGTATATAAAAGGATTTCATTGTTCTTATAATCTGTATTCGCGATTAACTCCGTAAACGTTTTTGGATAACGATATCTGTACAGTCAACTACCTAGCTGTAGCTAGCTGGCTATACATGAGTGGTCAGGGGAAGCTGTACTATCACTAACAACCCTAGTTGCCTACCTAACAGCCTAGCCCTAACCATACGCTACGGAATATATACTTATATAAATAGTAGGGGAAGCCTGTCACCGTGCGACCTAAGGCAACAGACGGAAAGGGGGAAGGATAAGGGTGCTCTAGGAAATGGTTTTCTCACTGCCAGTCTCACAGACTCACAAGACTGATCAGATAAGCTAACGGCTAAAGGTGTCTTGGCCGCAGTGAGAGGATGCTGTAGTCAGGAGTGCTCCGTTGTCAATAAGACAACGTTGATGTCTGAATTCAAAGAGGGTTTTATTTACAAAACTTAAGCTATTTATACAAAACGGTATTTACGTGTGTGTGACTATAAACAATATTATTTTTAAATGTATACATAAAGTTAAATACTCTACTCAGCAGCCTAGTTCAGAACGGTCATTGCACTGCTGAGTAGTCTATTGTCATCACTTAGCAAATGTCCGGTCAGGTTGTCTGTTTACGTCATGTGCACGTGAACAATATCGTATCCGAACCGACATCGAACGTTTTAACTCGAGTGTTCTAAATAGCTCGGAAAGCGCCCTTAATTGATTCGTTTAAGATAGCGAAGAGTTCTGAATCGGGATCTGTGCGGTGCGACTCAAACGATGGCCCACGCTTGATGATTTAGTGGCGGCTGCTAGTGACGCGGTCGGCGTGGCTGAGTTCTGGGCCACTATAGTATAATGTATGTCATCGATACGGTAAGAAGATGTCAGTGGAGTCTCAATGGAATTATAACCAGTGGTTTCAAGGCCCCAGGTCGCGTGTCTTCCGGAGAATACTCTCGCGCTTTCGGGAATTCTTTTCGGGAATTTCGGGAACTGACATAAAGTACATTATGCTTTGTACGATTTCCTTACAAAAATCGCGTTGACACCGTTAGGGTGCGTTTCCACTGACGCGGAGCTGGGCGAAGTGGAGCGGAGAAGAGCAGATCAGAGCTGCATTGAGCCGTATTCCGATTAGTTAAATTCAAACTTGGAGAGATCATACGTCACGTTGTCGGTAAAATAAAGCAGCACTTTTATTCGCATCTTTGGTTTCATTGCATTTGTATGTTGTCAGTCGTATAACCCATAAACATGGAATTTTTTTGACACTTTCGATTAGTTTCTCATCCATTTTGATTCACGAACAATGTCGATGACGAGTGAAATTTATGACGTAATATCGCTAACTAAACAAAAATGCAGCGCTCGAGGCCGTTCTGTCCGGCTTGAGGCTGCGTGTTCATATATTTTATTTGAAAGTCCGCTCCGCTACACTTACACTGTTTCCACTGATGCGGAGTGGAGAGTTCGAGCACTGTGATTGGCTAATTCACGGTCCGCTCCTCTCCACTCTGCCCAGCTCCGTATCAGTGGAAACGCACCCTTGGGGCGCATGTCCACGCTAAGAAAAGTCGCCGAGTCTATGCAAGAATTCGTGTCGTTTCTACACACGAACTGTGTACACTTCCTCGTCGTCGGACAAGAAAAAAAAATCTTGTCTAGCCCCGACTAGACGCGCTCTGCCGGTATGGGGCGGGGTGAGGTGCGTTGTCAGTAAACGAACGTTTATGTGCTTGGACGGGTGTTGCTTAGTAGTCAACATATTTCTTCCCACAGTCGGTAGTAAAACGACAGCTACCTGAGAGACTCGTAATGCACTGACACATTTTACCCTACACACGTCTGTCCGAAAACATTCGTAGCGTCTACATACTCATCATTTTCTCGTCTGCAACAGACACGACTTGTTTTTGTGACTAGAGCCGACAAAGTTCATGTCGTGTACAAGGCCATTTTCATCTCTTCTGTAGTAGACATGTCGAATTTCTTAGAGTGAACACGCGCCCTTGCGTATTTATACATTACCTACGTACGTACCACTGCCCTAATTAGAATCGGGATTGCGGGCTTCATACTCTCATGTTATTTTATTTATTTGTCTGCATGTATTTCATTTTTAATCGTTTCTTTTGTATTTCAGAGAATCTATAATGCAGTGAGTATTGTTATTTTTTTTTCTTCTTGGTTAAGAATAATAAATCATCACCTATGACACATGACAGCATCACATATGTTACTCTCGTCTCAAAGTATGTAATGATAGCCCTTGTGTTATGGAAATCGGAAACAACGACGATACCACACACGACGACGATACACTTTCAAAAGGAAATGCAGGCTTTGGTTACTTTCAAAGCAAAGTTCTGCTAGTAATTGGATGTAGTGTCGTCCAGCGGATTTATGCATATTTTTATTTTTGTTCTTTATTTATTTATCTATTTATGTACATATTGTAATTTTTCACTATTTATTGTTATTATGTGTGCAGTTCATCCTTATCTATACTTCATGTATTTTGAAATGAAATATTTTATGTGGATTTGGTACCACTATGACAATGTAATCATAGCTTTAAGTTTAAATTGTATACTTTAGTCATTTTACTGGAGCTTGTCGAGACACGCCAGAATTATTATATTATTAATATTACAGAATTAAAAGTAGCGTTTCACCAAAAAGGTAAAGTCTGAAAAACAGCTCAAGCTGAGACTCTTGCCTTTTTATCTACAGGTGTAACTTCAGATTATGTTATTTAAGGCTAAATTATTATTTAATGTAGATAAATAAAGCTCTTATTATTATTATTATTATTATTAAACAATAGTTAAGTTTTCTGCATTGGCCCGGCCGGGGCTCGAACCCCGGACCTCAGAAATGAAAGCCGTAGAAGGGATTTTCGCCTTTTATACCTTCTGTACTCTATTCTCTTTAATCCCACCTCTCGTCCCTACCTCAAAGATTGTTTCGTGTATCATCGCACTATCTTACTCAGTAGCACCTTACGGTCGTCTACTCTTTTAACTTTCATTCCAACTCCTTCAAGGTTAGAAGCAAATGTGGAATTCTCTGCCCGAATCAATCAGACACGCTAAGTCTGTTCTGTTCTTAATACATAGGGCGCACTATAAGTTTCCGGAACTGGCCACTTACATAAACAATACTTAAAAAGTAATTACAACATTTGAAAATGAAACTCTATGGCTGTGCAATACAGTTTGTTTCATCTGAGATTCGCTCTGGACCTTTTGGAGGGAAAAGTGTCGTTTTTATTTTGACTTTCAATTATTTTGTGAAATCTAGTTTAAAGTGGAATAGGACAGTGCTATTGTGCCTTAATAGAAGATTAAAACGCGAAATTATATGAATCTCGAACTAAAATACCTGTAACGGCCCGTTTTAAGGAATCCCGAGTCAATCCAAGCACGCCGCCTCAAATTGCCTATCCGCTTTGTGGCGGCCATATTTACAGAAACATAATTAAACTTCATGTTTAGGCTGATGGCGTTGCCAAAACCTTAATAAATTAAAAGAAAAAGAAAAAAAGTTTGTTTCATCTGACTGTCACTTGTTTTTACATTGTGGCGTCATTTTAGAAATTGGTTGTCTACATCAGTAGACTGCAGTACTAATTAATATGTTTTAATTTATTCTAATTATTATTATTAATTAATAAAAAAAACATACAAAAACATGTATTTAACTATCCAAAACGTAATATTACCGTAACCACGCTAGGCTAGGCCTGTGTCGTGGTTATCAGTATAGACGGTTTTTACAAAAGGACTTATTTGACTATATTATTAAAATAATTAAAAAAAAATTTGATCAATTTAAATAGTAATAACAAACATAAAAATGACAGAAGGGCAATAAATACTGTGTGTGTGTGTGTGTGTGTGTGTGTTTGTGTTTGTGGTGTGTGTGTGTGTGCGTGTGTGTGTGTATGTGTTTGTGTATGTGTGTGTATGTGTGTGTATGTGTGTGTGTGTGTGTGTGTGTGTGCGCGTGCGTGCGAGCTTTTGTGACTATGATCGCGAACAATAATAATTTTAAAATTATAAAAATTATTAAATAAAAATTTGGTTTCCTTAAGTGGTATAGTCAAAATTCTACGTTCTAAATTAAAGGTTTGTAATTTACTGCTCAATAACTGAGCTTCACTGTAGAGTTGAGATGTCGGGGTATGAATATAGATATGCCCTAATCGAGTACCGTACGACGAAGTGTATAATAAATTGAACTTAATAAAAATCAATTAAATAAAATAATTTGTAAAACGTAATGTAGCGTAAATTGTATAGTTCTTTGTAAAATTAAAAATAAGGTATTTAATTAATTATTTTTGTAACTATAGTGCAAAAATAGGGTGGTTTGACTGAAACGTCGGTTTGTTTGAAAAAACAAAAATACGCGACTTAAATCCGGAAAAGTAGTTTACTTTCCTATGTGTAAGAATCGCGAAAACCTAAGAACTCGATATGTATATACGGAGCATCCCTCGGCTTCAAACTGCTTTTGACGATGAAGCACCATGCAAGACGACTATTTATAGCTGGTTTGCAGAATTCAAACGTGGTCGTGTGAATTTCAGTGACAAATTTACTGTGAACAACAAAAACATCGATGCTGTGCGCCGTACGACCAAAACAGACAGGTACCTATGTGACATAACATGAGATTCGGGCGTCTTTAGGCATAGGCATGAGTCAACTACAATCAATACTACACAAACATTTGGTGACAAAGCTGTGCTCTCGGTGGATCCCACACGATTTGACTGAGTATCAAAAAACGGGTCACGTCACTTGGTCCAATGCCATGCTTACCAGATTCAACGAAGGAGCGTCGAATTTGGTGTGGGACATAGTAACAGGTGACGAAACATGGATTTATAGTTACGATCCCAAAACAGGATAGGTCTTTCGAGATGAGCCGAAACCAATCAAATTGGTGCGCGTGCAAAATGCCTCTAAAGCGGATGATTGCTTCTTTTTTTATTAAAACTGGACACGTGGCTACTATTTCTTTGAAGAATCGTTGTACCGTGAATAGTGATTGATACACGACCATGGGTTTGCTAGAAGTTATTGACAAACTCCGTAAAAATAGCCGTAAACGCCGTATCATCTTGCACCACGATAATGTCAGTTCACACACGGCCAGACAGACAAAAGAACGTCGTTCAGAACACCCGCACAGCCCGCGCACTCCTGCGACCGATTCTCAAGTCCCGACTCCCACTACTCGGAAACTAGGAGTGTATAAGACGTACATCAGATCCCGCCTAATATATGCAGCCCCAGCATGGTACGCGCTGGTAGGAGAGTGCAACAGGCGGCGACTCAGAGCTCAACAGTCGCTGACCTTGCGGTGCATCACAGACGCCCCACGATATGTGAGAACTGACGTCATCCAACGGGACTTGAGCATGGAGAGCCTCGACAGCTTCGTCGATTGCCTGGCCAAGGCCATGTTCCGGCGCGCCGGACGATCCCTGTGTAGCCATATACGGGGACTGACACCACACCGAGCCCGACATCCTGACGAGAAACTGCTTCCAAGGGCCTACTACTACCTACTTGGGCGCGAGGAAGCCCCACCGGACTAGACACCAGCTGCTGAAGATGGTTGAGGGACTCCATTTGAAGCAGCTCACCCTATTGCGACACCCAAGGGTTATACCCAACGAGTCTCCACGAGTGGCGATTGACCCCGCCGAAAGAGGCCGAGACGCCTCGAACGGCCCCCTCAAACCCGCTGACGCGAGTTTTGAGACGACTACGGCAGGTTAATGTGAAGAGAAATCTGAGAATACAGAGAGCTCAGTAAGGCAACCAGGAGTTGAGTCCCTTCATGGGAACTGCTACCCGGATCTTGTGACAATTAATACGCTCATATAGAGTGAGATATTATTGCCCATAATATAGGGTAGACATGGGGAATAGCGTTACATTTCTATCGCCGTGACTGTCGTTCCGGTTCCAAAAAAAATATCAGTGATGAATCACAGTGATTTTGTCCGGACTGTTAATTCCGCGACCTTGTGACGCCTATAACTTACATCACGATATACGGTTTTAGCCAGCGGTTTCTTTCAAATACTTATAGCCGTTTTTTATAGAATGATTTACTCCCTTTGTAATAAGTTTCAATTCCATTCAAAAAGTTGATTTTGTATTTAATGTAATTTTGTTTGTTACTTATTTAATGCGAATCTTTGGATTGTTAAAAATAGCAATAAAGTGTAATGTAATTAATTATATTTCTAGTAGAATACACAAAGTAGATTATACATAAATATAAAATACCAACTCTTCCTATAGTTTTATTTCTTCCTAGTTTTATTAAACTAATATACAAAAATATGTTACTTTGTTAATAAATAGGTTTATAGTAACTGCTGCAGATTTTTTTTCATCCGCCCTTTTTAGTTGTAATAAGCACCTGCGACCCTTGTGAGTGAGCAAAGAAAGTCATCCTAACTCACTCACTCCCGTCGCCGAAATGACCCGATTTGAAGAGAACTACAACGAGTGGCGCGCTCAGTTACCATGGAACGGAGATCGCGCATTGTATCAAATACGTATGTCGTGATGTGAGTGACGGGGATAGCTATTTTAAAGGAGGAACACGTATGTGACTTTGGAACGAGCCACGGTGATACTGTTTGACGGCGGATCATCGTGATTTTTTCATCGTGACGTTATTTATCACCCACCTCTAATATACGGTGAAAAACCTCATCTCGCGGAACGGTTTCTAGGAGTCGAGTCCCTTCTGGGTTCAACTGCCCGGACCTTGCGCATATAGGGGGAAGTAGTATTGGCGACATACAAAATGAAAAATAAAAATCTTCTGATTAAACAATTTGGAGTTCCACTTGGCTTGTTTTGGTAACCTCATCCAACGGAAGAAAGAACCTCCCTCCTTTACAGTATCTTATTTACTTATTACTATTAATTTTGATATCTGTTATACTTTTGTTTTTTGTAACAAACCGACGTTTCGGGCCCTTTACAGGTCCCATGGTCACGTTTGACTGAAAAAACAAATATACGCGATTTAAATCCGGTAAAATAGTTTCATTTCCTATGTGTAACAATCGCGAAAACCTAAGAACTCAATCTGTTATACTGTTAGACTATTGTCATGATTATTCATTTTTTATTTGTGTATGTATACTATGTGTATTAAATATGTATTCTATTGCAAATTACTATCTTACAGTTTTTCCTGTAACTCGCAGATTGCCTGGAAGAGATTGCTATATAGCAATAAGACTCGTGTCTTTTTCATGTATTTTTCCCAGTGTGCAATAAAGAATATAATGTATTGTATTGTATTTTATTGTATTGTATTGTATTGTATTGTATTGTATTGTATTGTATTGTACTGTACTGTACTGTACTGTACTGTACTGTACTGTACTGTACTGTACTGTACTGTACTGTACTGTACTGTATTGTATTGTTTTGTAAAGCCGGTGTGCAAGCCACTCGACCACGGGGGCCGTCGAGGAATAATTTTAAATCGATTCATAAAACCAAATATTATCATAAATATATTATAAAAAAGTACATTTGTCCGTAGCCTACCTATTTCTGTTTCCCATAAATATGAAATTGCTATTGTCAGGTACATAGAGCGCGGTTTAGAGGAAGCACTAAAAGAAGATAAAGGCACAGGATGTGAGATCCCAGAGCTGGATCCTTTTGCGCCTGAGATCATGAAGTTTGATAAGAAACTGCCACAAATCGTGTGCGACGGCCATGATTGGGTCAGGTGTTACGTAAGTATCCAACTAAGGGCTCATTCAAAGTGCAGGCGTAGGCGCGGCAGCGCCGGCGGGTGCGAGCGCGCGGGTTTTGAAATCTTCCCTTTTACAGTGCCGAAGCGGCTACGGGCGGATAGACCCACACGTAGTGTGGCCATCGTAGACGAAAAAATATGAAAGGCGACGGGTCGCCTATTGGGCTGCTTTCGGTTTACAAGACTAGGGTCAGTGGAGAAAAGTCCAGTCTTGCCCAGAGTCCATGGTTAGTCGTTTGAATTTGACACTTAAGGCAGTCTCCGATTGGGGTGATGCCAGCCTTGTCAAGTTTATTGCTACCAAAACGCAGACGTGTCTATTCTCCACAGAACGGAGTCTCTTTTTCGACTTTTTGTGATTTATCCATACCGGTCTCCACCTACTTGAAATAGACCTGTCGTCCAATCTGAACTTCGGCAGATACATTGAATCCATGGTCAAAAATGCAGCCAGGAAGCTTGGCATCCTTTCCAAGGTGAGGTGTTACTTCACACCGGGACATTTGCTTCAGCTGTACCAAGCACAAGTCCTGTATGCTCCCCACGAAAGTATGTGGCATTAAGAAAGAAAAATTGTTTATGATTAGTCAGTTTCGGCCTTAGAGAATCGAAAAATAATAGTCTCAGGTTTCAGCGGGAATATCTAATAATAGTAGATAAAGTTTTATTATACGTTTCAAAACAATTTGTCTTGCAAGTCCCCTTTAGCAATCTATCTGAACGTTGCTTGTTGTGCTAATAAGTTGACTGGTTTGACTTTAGTAAAAGAAAATATAGAGGGCACAACAGTTTTCTTCAATACTTTGTCTATAGGTTCATCACCTAAAACAGATATAAATAAATCAATAAATGATAACCTAAACTAGTAGATTAATGCCATAAGTATTAATGATAGCAGTGCCAGGAATGAAAAGGAATACATGATATTTGTTTTGCAAAATTTCAGCCTAACCTCTCTTCAGATTTAAATTGTGACGCACATAAACTCAACGAATTAGTAGCAATATAATTTATCCTTCGAATATTTTTTTCCCATAGTTTTCTTCTTTTCGATTCTTTGGGGAATAAATATAATCCCGTATTTTTGCAATCAACTGCTGCACAGAGGGTCATAATAGAGAATTATTTCTTAAAGACTTTGTTTGTTTCCAAAAACACTGACAAATTATAGCTATAGCTGTCAAACCCGAACGCTCTACAGTGGTGACATCTGGAGGGTGCATTAGGCAGTTATTTACCCCATTATGTCAATTTATTTACTTTTATTTGATTCTACTTAGGTTTCATTTTAATAAATATTTGATTTAAACTACAATTTTATTTTATTTATTGCTGTTCTTCATGTGGTGTTTAGGCTACTTTAGGATCCCCGGCTAAAATTCTGGTACATGAGGCTACTGAGGATGTGAACAATGGCGACTTTGGACCCAGTGTTGTTGGCAACACTATCCAAACGTCGAAATCGCAAACGGACGCTAACCGCTAGACCAAACACTGTGAAAGGTACGGGCGGACCGCGTCAATAGATCTACCCGCGCGGCGCTGTGAACGCAAGGAGCATCTACGTACATTTGATTTACACCCGCGCCCGCCGCCACTCTGAATAAGCCCTAAGTTATGTCTACAGAGCAGTCGAGAGCCGCAAAACACCAGTGAACAGCTTTGCGCCTTTTTCACTGGTAACCCGTGCGGTGCGTCTCGTTATAACCTCTGCTGACAAGAAGATTGGCAGCTACCACCGCCAAAGAAATCGATACCTCCAATAAACACTACGGCAATTAAATTTTTAATTTTTTTTTAAATTTGCAGTAGGCAAGTAAAAATTGCACTCTTCAAAGCCTTCTGCCATCGAGTATAAAACCAGAAATAGAGACGAAATAAGGGCCATATATTCCTGGTAACACATTAGCGATACAGCTCTTATAAATATCAACTCCCGTTTGCACTTAAATATAGGCAGGCCAGCTACTGACGTCTCCGTATGTCCAAATAATATTCTGTATTTATTGTAATAAAGATAATATCTCTAACAAAGCCGTGCTGTTCTATTCGGTGCTGTGGGGAAAACAGCAAAACATCTAATTACAAAACAAACGGAATCACATTTCATCGGTAATTAAATATTGAATATGTAATTTTGCAATTTTCGTGCATTATAGCAAAGCTCAAGTTAACTGGTTGATTTGAAGTGAAACAGTTGACGACACCCATTGATGACACCCGTCAATTGTTTCGAACTCGGGCAAGCCAATCGGAGCGCAGTTGTCACAGTAATGATATGGCAGAATAGTTTTCTAACAAATTAAATGAAATTTCGGCTCTATTTCTGATTATATCCTAAGTGATAATATATCGCTAAGTGCCCTACGGGTCCGGTATAATAATGGGTTTAAAATAGGGATTGCAATCCGGCGTCATTTTCAGTCCGGCCGGCTACGACCGGATTCCCATCAATCCGGCCGGATGCGACCGGATCCGGCCGGATTGATTAAATCAAGGTGATTTTCGCTTTTTAGTACATAATAAGTGAATTAATGAAGTGTCACTGCACTTACATGTAGGTAATTTATAAAAAAAACACAAATATATAAAATCAACTTTATTTCCTAACCAATGTTAAGACAAATAGACAAGAAAACAATTAAAATTTAGTAGTGTAGGTAACTAGTAATAATTTTACGACTTAACGAGTAGCTCAGTCTTTCTAGATTTCACTTTCACAGATATATCAATTTATAAGTAACAATATTAATTATCAAGTAACTATAATATCTAATAGATACAATTAACCTTACGTAATTAACTGAAATGAGATCAAAATCATTATTAAAGTATTTGAGAATGCTAACAAACAAGTCTTATAGGTATTTATGATTATGACAGACACCATCATGAATTGATGAATCTGTCGAACGAATGAATGGCAAAAATTATCACAATAATGAGTTTAGAACTCTTTAGTTTAATCAACTTACGATAAATAGTTATTTTAAGTCATAATTGTAAAAAAATATAAGTATTAAAAGAAAATCAATATTGATTTTGAAAATAAGATCGTAGAAAACAAATATTGTTAATTGTGTCATCAGCTAAATGACTTCTAATAGAGCTGCAAATATAGCCTGCGGCCGAAAAGGCCCTTTCAGCTTCTACACTTGTCGGCTTTATTGTCAGCAAATAATCATGAATAGCAGACAAGTATTCTCCTCGGACTCCATCGCTTTCAAATGTCGTCATTTCTTTTTTTAGGATTTTATCAAAATCTTTCTCTTTTTTAGTATGTACGCTATAACACGTGGCTTCTTTCTGGATTTGTAATTCTAATTCTTCCTGTAATGTCAAATCTTTCCTTAGTGATGGTGAATCTAAGTTCTCTTCTACTTTTTTTTCTATGTTTTCTTCAGATGTATCTTCTTGAATAACTCTTTCTAAGATTTTTGTCATTTCTGATCGTATGACTTTTTTCTTTGGCATAGTAAATGTATCATCAGATCGGTTTACATTTTCAAGATATTTCTTTGGATTCTGTAGGTATATCAATATTCCTGTTACTACAGTGCGGCGTTCTTTAATCCTTGTATGCAGTGCTTCATATAATTCATTACTTAACACTGTGTCATGAGTGAGCAACTTCTCTGAAACAAATTTTAATGTTGTTTCTGCAGTTAACAGGGTCGAATCTCTTCTGCACAAGGCCTCTACAGCCAATTTAAGTGGCAGCAAACTGTCAATCAAGTCTTTTATTTTTGACCATTCAATGTCACTAAATTTAATTTCAGATTCTACATCTATCAAAGCTTTATCAATACACACTTTCAGCTTATAAAATCTTTCCATCATAGATAGAAGACTATTCCAACGTGTGCGGCAATCCAAAATAAGACTTAATTCTTTACCTGTATGTTCTTTCACATACTTTTGCAGGTACATATCGTATTTAGTAGGCGATCTTTTGAACAGCTTTACCACTTTTCGCACTTTTTGAAGAATATCAATGTATCTAGGAATTACTTCAGCCTTACAAAGATATGCATGACGAGGATCCGTTATAGTAACTGTAACTCCTTGTTCATCATCTTTCGTTGTATCTTCGTCATCTGTATCTGATTCATTAGATGTTGTTGGCGTTGTTGCTAGGTGGTGTTCTGCCTTCTCTTCATTCTTTTTGTATAAAACATCGATCACAGCTAATTGTAACCCATGTGCAAAGCAAAGTTGTTGATAGCAATTCATAAGCTTACCTACTTTGACCATGACACTTGCGCCGTCAGTACTCATGCCAATAATATCAGTATCAGCATCAAGACCGAAGCTTTTTAAGCGGTGTTTTATTAAACTGATTGTATGTTCCGCAGTACATGAACCATGAATTCTAATCAAGCCCAGATTAAAGTGTTTTTCTTTTTGGTGTAAATTTAGGTTCAAATATCGGTGATTTTTTTGGGAAGTCCATTCGTCAAAACTCAAAGAGAATCTTTTTCCTTGATTCTTTAGATATTCGAACTCAATTATAAAATCTGATTGAACTGTATTTGCGAAATTTAACTAGGTATTGATCTTACAGTATTTGGTGAATGAGGAAGTTGAAATCCACTTTTTGAAAATAAATATCTCAAATCAGGCGATGTACAAAATAAACTGAGAGGCACACCATTTTTACAGACCATTCTAGAGATCATCTTTTCCATTGAATTTTCTTTTTTAAAATAACTGTCAATTGTTTTAGACTTTTTCTTGGGTATTTCTTCCTCACAATTAATATTAGCTGAATCGGTTTTTGATGTAGATGGTTTAGAGAATGAAACAGACGGACGTTTTACTTGGATACTTTCAATGCAAATGCAATGCTTTGTTCTCAAATGTGTTTTTAAACCTTTGTAAGAACCTTTACTTATTTTTATTATGTTAGAGCACAATGTGCACTTTGCGTTTCCAGAATTGTCGTCTTGCATTTTTTCAAAGTAATGCCATATAGTTTTCTCACTCTCTCCATCCTCCTCATTTTGATTTGGTTTTGAAAGTGACATGTTATGATAGCTTGGATATACTAATATAAAGTACACTACGCTACGAGTAATACCTGTAACAAACAAAATATAAAAAATAAAACAATATCTATTCTATTTAAATAAAACACTTTTCAACAGATACAATCGCTCGCGTAAATACAAGAACAATATGATATTATGTTTTTTATAATAAGAACAATATATATCTACTTACATTTTGATGAGCAGCGACAAAACAAAACACATTTATTTCTTCGCGCGACTCGCGACTCGCGAGGCAAATGACTGTCTGGCGGTCGGTGGCGCGACGCGGATACGGGGGAATGAGCGGGCGAAGCGTAGTGGGGGTGGGGCGACTCGGCGACGAACGACTCGCACGCATGAACATGCATCAACATGCAACAGCTGTATTATTTTCCCACAAACTGCTAGCACCGGATCCGGTCTTCGGATCCAGTATATTGGTACCGGATCCGATAACCATAAAATGATGCCGGATCCGCCGGATTACCGGATCCGTTTTTCCGGATTGCAATCCCTAGTTTAAAATGTTGATGGGGCTGCCTCGTTTCTGCAGAGCATCTGCACGGATTGATGCGGATTGCGGATGATGGCATAAAAGTCATCTACCCGCAATCCGCAAAAAACAGCCTCACTGCTGAGCAGACTGCGGGGCAGCACCAACAGCATTCTCCAGGTCATACCTGACCGATATGACCTGCCTATAATGAAGTCTTTCATTCGAATCCTGATCACATAGTCCCATAGGAGTCTATTTGATCGGGATGCAAGTGAAAGATAATTTTGACATGTGTTTTTATTTTATTTTCTTTGTCATTAACATAGCTTTTTAAGTTGGTTTGTAACATACAAACACTATTAGACCATACCCAGTCGTTGTCTGAATAAATTATATTATTATTAATTTTTTTTTAGCATGACGAATGCAAAGCGACAACACTAGCTTTAACGTCGATTATGAACATAACGTGCCTGTACTACGACATGATATATGAGACCGATCGACATTACTACATCTCTTCTAAGCCCACGCAAGTGACTAGCAACGGCACTTACTGGCTTGAAGCTTCGGATCATGTTATAGTGAATTGTACTGGAACTTATATTACGAAGTAAGTACTTTTTTGCTTGACGTGTTTCGAACCAGTCCGTGGTCCTCATTCATGAGATTCCCGTGTCCATGGCCCTTTCCTCGATTTAATAATAGTAATTCATTCCCTAGTATGCCACCTTTAAAGGTGGAACATTTTCTTCAACCAGTACCCTCTTTCCAACAAAAAAGGATCATCGAATCGGTTCACAAAGAGTTATCGTGTAAATTACAATTATATGTATATATTTTGTAGTCTATACTGCATATTTATCCAAGCCCTAGTTATAAACCTTTAAACAAGTGTTAACGCCTGCCGTTAAAGTGTTGGCAAAAGTGTGCATCCGAGTTTTTTTTTTGACTACTACTAATTGCGTCAACGAAAACATTGGTTTCATTTACAAATTTCAAAAAACGCTGAATATAATTATATACAAGCCTAAAAAGTTTGGTAATTGGTTACATTGTGACACAATATAGTATAGCTATGCTTTTTTTATGAAACCACTGGTAACTCACATAAACAATGGTTGGTACGTAATACATAGGGCGCATTATAAATTTCCGAAACTGACCACTTACATAAACAATATTTAAAAAGTAATTACAACATTTGAAAATGGAACTCTTTGCCTGTAGAATACAGTTTGTTTCATGTGACTGTCACTTGTTTTTACATTGTGGCGTCATTTTAGAAATTGGTTGTCTACATCACCATGGATTTAACTCGAGAAAATTTTCGTAGTATCTACTACTTAAAGTGTAATTTAACAGCTCAGCGGAGCTTTGCTCGGCTTCAAACTGCTTTTGGCGATGAAGCACCATGCAAGACGACTATTTATAACTGGTTTGCAGAATTCAAACGTGGTCGTGTGAATCTCAGTGACGAATTTCGTGATGGTCGCCCGTCCACTGCTGTGAACAATTACTTAAACAGCAAATACAATCAATACTACACAAACATTTCGGAGTGAATAAGCTGTGCTCCTGTGATACCACACAATTTAACTGAAGCTCAAAAAACGCGTCACTTGGTGCAATGTCATGCTCACCATATTCAACGAAGCGGCGTCAAATTTGGTGTGGGACATGATAACAGGTGGCGAAACATGGATTTATAGTTACGATCCCAAAACAAAGCAGCAATCGACCGTCGCTCGAGCGTCTTTCGAGATGAGCCGAAACCCACCAAAGTGGTGCGCGTGCAAAGTGCCTCTAAGCGGATGACTGCTTCTTTTTTTAATAAAACTGGACCCGTGGCTACTGTTGCTTTGGAGAATCGTTATACGATGAATAGTGATTGGTATACGACCATTTGTTTGCCGGAAGTTACTGGCAAACTCCGTAAAAATAACCGTAAACGCCGTATCGTCTTGCACTACGATAATGACAGGTCTCACACGGCCAGACAGACAAATGAATTTTTGAAGGTGAACAACGTTGAGCTTGTGAGCCATCACGCGTACAGTCGTTTCCTATATCTATGGTCCAGATCTGGCACCTTGTGACGTTTATTTATTTCCAAAAATTAAGAACCAGTTACGCGGTCAACGATTTTCATTATCTGAAGAGGCTGTTGAAGAGTATGAAAAATATGTTTCAGAGATTGTCACGGAGGAGTGGCATAAATGTTTTCAAAATTTGTTCATTCGTATGAAAAAGTGCATTAACGCTAAAGGAGAGTATTTTGAGAAACAATAAATTCATTCCTGTCCATTTATAGTATTTTTTTCTTATTAATTCCGGAAACTTATAGTGCGCCCCACGTAGTACAATTTTTTGTCTTTCGGGACAGACTAAGGTGTCGAATAAGTCATACTGCCAGATCTTGATAGTAATTTTTCTCCAACAGTTTAATTTTATGACATTTCATCATCTTTACGGTGGCCATTTTGAAACTTCCAATTGCTATTACTTTTGAAAACATTTTTGTAATGGCGCCCCAAAAATGTACAATAATTTACCGAAAGTACTACGGTGTGATACAAACAATTAATGCAAAAAAGCAATTAAACAATGTCGGAATTATTAAATGGCAAACCCGTACTTCTTTTATCTAATTTTTGACAAATTATTATTATGGCTTTAACAACTAGTTACTATTTAAAATAAAATTATTTATCGTTATAATTTACCCTAATAAATATCATCACAAAATTAATTACTAATGAAATCCATGTGTGTACGCCTATGTGATATTTTTTGTAGCAGTAGAGCTCCTTGTGAAAGAGTTGTACATATAAATTTCAGTAATTTCCCATCGAATTGGTCGGGTATACTCACCGGATTTCGGTCGACCGTAATTCCTCCGCTGCCCCCACCTGGCAGAGAAGACACCCTGAATGTGCTATTCTTCGGGTTCGACTCCACAGCTCGAAATGGTTTTATCAGGAAAATGCCCGAGAGCTACAAGTATTTGAAAGACGATTTAAACGCCACTTTCTTGACTGGGTAAAGTGCTAACTTCATTATCTTTGTAATTATAAGTTTAGTGAATATTACGATGTTTAATGTAAGTAGTACATAACTAACTATAAAGTAATCTGTGGTTTAATTCCTTGATATTCAATAATTTTTTTGTGAAATTTGTCCTTTACTTTGTTATAATTGTTAATAAAAAGATCGAACTCAAAGAAAATTTCCTTCGATCCTGCTGGATTTCAACCATCGCTTTCAGCATACCGTATCTGACGCTCTCCCAACTGAACTACGGAATGAACCAACAGATCTTACTAAATTTTTTTGTGTGCTTATCTTTGTTTTTGGTTTTTAACGACTTTTTTGTCGTAGCGCCATCTGTGAGAAATCTATGAAGTTTTTCTTCACTCATTAAATTGGCATAGACCAAGGATGCGCATTGGAACCTAAGGTAAATTTCCAAAGGTGTACCTGTACGCTTTCTTCTAGGTACAACATAGTCGGAGATGGAACTCCGGCATCACTGTTCCCCATCCTCACCGGCAAGACTGAACTAGAGTTGCCGGAAGCCAGAAAGTCTATGGGCAATAACTTTATCGATCACACCAACTTTATTTTCCATAGAGTCAAGCAAGATGGGTAAGTGAAAATAAGTTAGAAAACGTCCATATAGAAAATTTTGAATAGAAAACCATTTATTTCAGGCTATTGAACTCACACAGTTAGTACTCGACTACTACTAGTACTAGTACTAGTGTTACTTACTTACTTTTTTTAGGACCTATGATCACGACTGAGAAAAAAATACTGAAATATTACCATAAAGTGATTAAAAAACGTGAATAATTTTACAAAGACTACCATTTAACGCAAAACTCAAACTGGTAACATATGCTGTTTTGCGTTAAAATCGCTAGCGACTTCTTAGCTTACGAGCATCATCGTTACCATTCTACTACGTCCTACTGTTGTTTACGGGTCCTCTCTAAAGATAGGCAAATTGCGTGTTGGCGACTTCACGTTTTCCACAGATTGTGAACAGTTTTCGACATACCGATGGTTTTATAGAATAACGACCTATTTCATCAGTAACATGGTTTTAACACAACTGCAGAATATCTCAAATGCATTGCAGACGAATCATATGCACGTATACCGTATACCCTCGTATACTCTGTAGTCATGTTATTATTTTAAACAACGCATTCTGAGTTAAATTTAGAACTATTTTAATTGCCTAAATTGTTAAAAAGCAGCGATACAGGGTTAATGAATAATATGTTTTCCTTCACCGTCAACAAGAGGTACCTATTGCTACCAAACATTCACAAGTGTACATAACTTAAAAATTAATGTCATAAGCGCACCGGAAGAACTAAAATTTACCACACAATTTTATTATTAATAATAAAAATTAAAAAATCTTTGGATTCGAACCGACGTCTCCCAACAAACTGTGCCAGACGCTTTGCCAACTAAACCACGAAACGAACCAGCGGACCTCACGAATTTGCTTGTTGTTGGATCTTTCTTTTAGTTATTAACGACTTTTTGCCGTACCGCCATCTGTGAGAAATCTATGAAAATATTACATCACCCAGTTAGGTGGTACCTTTACAGTTACCAGCTGGGTATAGAGGTGTCGTTTTAATTGTAGTTACGTTTTTATTGAATGTCCAGGATATTTCACCACCATGATATTAATTTTTTTTTTGTGAAATTACTCCACTATAGTCGTTACCACCTTGTCATCGTGACGCGAATAGGGATGTGGACTAATCATATCGGTAATCACATTTTACGATTTTTACGAGAAATCGATTCAAAATTTGAAGAGTTTGTGATTGTTCAGATTATTTTTCGGTAAAGCATTTCATTTGTAGCAATTCCACTTATTTTCGTAAAATTGTCCCACATTCCGATGAATTGTATCCAATTCTTATAATTTTGATTTTATAATATTCATAAATGGTTTATTACGAGAATTTTGTGTAAATAAGTATGTACGTCGATAAAACAATTACATAAAAAGATTAAATTACCAAGAAACCAAGGATTTCATAAATTTTCAATTATTTGGCTGGCAATAAGTTAGAAGTTGTCAATGTCAACAACAAACAAACTCAACTAATGTTCATAATATTTTCTAATATTTTTTTATTTTTCCGAGAAGTCGAAGTGACTCGGTGAAATTCGGCGATTAATTGCCTCACAACACTATTATTTAAAAAAAAATACGTTTCGGGGTACCTCAAAATTGCATTTTATTTTGGAATTCGTGCGGAAACAGTACTTCCAACATGTTTTGTCATATTATATAATGTTTCAATAAAATTTATGTATTTTTTAAACTCAATAATGCTAATAATTGTTTATTATTATTATTTAATATATGTAAAAACATTACAGTTTCCTTTAGATAAGTATTGTTTATTGTTTCGTTGATCGCATTCAAAGTTATATACTATCGCCTTCTTTAGCTGTCTTTGGCCTCTTATTTAGTGACGACTATAGTTTGTTACCACACAAATTTAATGACACTGTAAAGTAATAGAAGTACCGAGTCCCTATGTAACTTCGCAGCCTTTGCTATTGCACGCGGCCAATTGCTGAATTCTCATCGCAGGTACCGAACGGCGTATTTCGAAAACCACCCTTCCACAGGCACGTTCCAGTATCGCTTCAATGGCTTTGCCAAACAGCCTGCTGATCACTACCTACGCGTCTACTGTCTCGAAGTGGATAAAATGTGGAAGAAAAGAAATCACACCAAATTCTGCGTTGGTGATACCCCGCAATATAAGCTTATTATGAATATCACTGAACAGGTAAACAACACGCGTAACAAAAATCTCAATATCACAAAATCACATAATCTCATGTCAAAAGTTCCGTCACACACCGCTAGATGACGTTGAACCATTTTTGTGCAGATTTTCGCCAGAGAAGTGACCGTTGGTGCGCAACTAGTACTGTTCCTTGGGAACGAGCAGATTCAACTTCTAGGATAATTACCTTGGGCTTCTATCGTTTGTGACCTCGGCATCAAGTTATACCATAAACACCTTTAACACAGATTACTTAATATTTCCTACCTTTACTGTGAAGGAAGATTGCTTTCTCTTTGACAGCGCGATAAAATGTGTAGTAACACACTTTATCTGTATTAACCATATACTATAACAAGATATACGTTAATTACACCCCTCTCAAGGGGTGAAATTAGGTCTGTGTTACTGCTATGAAATTTCTCTAATTTGCAATGTTCCTCACAATATTTTCTTTCTTTGTCAAAACATGTTCCAATTATACTACTTAAACTCTAAAAAACCAGAAGTGCTGTCCACTGGCTAGTAGTGGAGTATTCCAGGGACAATTCTACGTCTCAATGGTTCGATTGTTTCACAAAATCTCAAGTCGCTTAAATGCAAATTTCGCAGTTCTTCAAACTGGACGCCAAGAAGTTCTGCTTCACGTTCATAGGGGACATATGTCACGACGACTTCAACCAGATCACCTCTGCGGACAAGGACTTCGTTAACTTCCTGCACAAGTTCAAAGAAGATGGACTGCTTCAGAATACGTTGCTGTTTGTTTTTGGAGACCACGGACCTAGGTATGGTTATTGTCAATAGCCCTTTGACAAAAACCTTGGCACTCGCTATTTCAGATAGAGCTATAACTCGTGTATACAGTACTCACACGCACCATGTCAAATCATGATCATTCGTCTATTCTACATATAGTAGAGCTCCTTGGGAAACCGTTCGTCCAAAGAATTACTGCCACCTTAGCTATTTCTGCCACCAACAGCAATGTGAGCATTTCGTTCCGGTTTCGAAGGGCAAGGGTGTTGCTGATATTACTGGCACATGAGACTTGTTAGCTTATGTCTCATGGGTCAGATTTTTGTGATTTAAAGCTCTAAGTGACACTGCAACTGTTATAGGTGGTCGTATCGCTTGACTGCAGAGCTCAGCTTCTTTCACAAGGAGCTCTACTGCTGCAAAAAGTTATAATCTGACTTAATAACTGCAAGAGTGCAGTTTCTGCGCAGTTTGTTTACAATTTGTGGAACTGCATGAGTATTTCGTGCTGTTTTCACAGCGTTACTGGCGTGCTTTGTAGACTGGCTCTGAATAAATCACACAATAAATCTGTTTGGATTAATAAATATGTATAATATTTTCAGATACCTGAACACCCGAGCCACCTACCAAGGCAAACTGGAAGAGCGTCTACCACTGATGGGAATAGTTTTACCAGAAAAACTACTAGCAGTGCGACCAGATGTAAAGGCGGCTTTACAATCAAACATCGATGTTCTGACGACGCCTCACGACGTTTATGCAACGGTATTGGACGCGATTGGAATGACGGAACATTGGAACCCCTTTAAGGTTAAAGGCGCCGATTTACCTAGAGGCATGACGTTGTTCGAGCCGGTAAGTTTGCGTCTCTGGCCTAAACCATGCCCTAGAAGGTAGTTCGAATCCCTTTTTTTTTGTTAGAAACAATATTATCTCGTTATCATCATTAAGCCATACGACGCCCACTGCTGGGCACAGGCCTCCCCCAACGATCTCCACGACGATCGGTACAGCGCTGCCCGCGTCCATCGGCTTCCCGCAACCTTTACCAGATCGTCGGTCCACCTGGTGGGGCTCCTATCCACTGAGCATCGTCCAGTGCGCGGTCGCCATTGAAGAACCTTTCGACTCCAACGGCCATTGGTTCTCCTAGATATGTGCCCCGCCCACTGCCACTTCAGTTGAGCAATTCTTCGAGCTATGTCGGTTACCTTAGTTCTCCTACGGATTTCCTCATTTCTGATTCTATCACGTAGGAAAATACCGAGCATCGCTCTCTTCATTGCCCGCTGAGTGACCTTGAGCCTTCTTATGAGGCCCATAGTGACGGACCACGGGATCCGAGCTGGATTCGCCGAAACATCTCTTTCTCAAAGTTGGACTTACCTAACTGTACTGTCTGCCCCAGGTATACGTAATGGTCAACAACTTCGAGAGTAATGCTCCTAATGTTAACTGGAGCGGGTACAACATGGACATTCGACATGATCTTCGTCTTATCCATGTTCATCTTAAGACCCACTCTTTGGGAAACACTACTGAGATCTTCGAGCATTGTGTTCAGGTCTAACAGAACAGAACTAACATTATGTCGTTAACGGCGATGTAACATTGTGATGAAACTTGTTGGGGAGAACTGTAAGCAGCATCACCGAAACACTGGGCTGTTTGCATGCAACTGATGCAGCTGTAACAATTGCACAAAATTATACATACATAATTTCATTAAGAAAGAAGATATCCATACCTAATATTAACCTTAGAACTAAGTCTAAACTCATGGTACCACGATTTCGTTTGATTAGGTAAACGATTTGGGGAACTGTTTATCGACGCTAGAAAGGCAAAATGGGATAAGCGACACTTAAAAAATTACGTTTCAAGTGTAAACATTTTTCCTGTGGAATAAATTATATTTCACTTTGAGTTTGAAACCGCACAGAAAATGCACTTTTGCGACTTTTCGAAAATTTTGAATATCTGCATACGCCCTTAGTTATGAGTTCTTTATCATTTTACTTCAGATTCCTCGCAACAGATCTTGCAGTGAAGCGGCAGTAGAGGCCCACTGGTGTACGTGCCACCGCTGGACCACGATCCCGCCGTCCGATCCCATGTACCGTCGTGCTGCTGATGCTTTGGTTAACCACATTAATTCGCTCACGGAATCCATCAGGTAACCATATCATCGGTGTTTTGCAGAAAGGACATAGGCGACTAGGGGAGCATGTTTTGGGTTTTAACGACTGTGTTTGCCGTGTAGGTAATTGCTTACTTAACTGCCTTTGTGACCGAACGGTTACCATGCCGGACTATCACGCAGAAGTCCTGGGTTCGATTCCCAGGCCAGGAGAAATATTGTATGGCCTACATTTATTTCTCTCGTGAGTTTGGGTGTTTTTTGTGTGTCTATGGCATCCGCGACACAGGGTTAGAGAAACCCTGTGCGGGGCTATGAAAACAAAATTGTTTAGTTTTTTTATCAATTTTATATAATAATAGTTTATAATAAGTAAACCATATAAAGGACTATGTCCAGCAGTGGACTTCTTTCGGTTAAAAAGTTGCTAACGACAATGAACCTTTCATTAAAATTCCATAAATTTAACCATAAAAATCACAACCACTTATTTAGTTTAGGTAATATGCCGCTAGATGGCGTTGAACGTTTTTAAAACGCGCTTACAAGTCATTACCAAAATTTGTTTACGGCTTTGCCATAGAATGAGTCATGTGTGGTGGTAAGATAGTCAAGATTTCGAAATGTTTGATTGAGTGGTTAAACACAGTTGTGAGTTTGATTTTTGGGACCCAACAGTAAAACGACTGTTTTAAAATATTTATATCCTGTTTAGGGACACAGTATCGAAACAAAAGTACCGATGTCAATTGAAATGTTTCTAATTACTTTTCTTCATTATCATTCTTATAAAGAAGCAAAGGGTGGCATGCACTAGCTACATAACCATGTCTTTTGTGATGAAGGTTTGCCATTGAAAAAAATCGGTGGCTTGCGCAATGTTATGAAGTGTCCAAAGTAGGAATTATTCGAAAGGATACGATACGAGACTTGTAAAAAAGTACTAATACCAGAAAATTATCGAATGAAAAGTATCGAGTCCAAAAGTATCGGTATCAAAAGGAAAAGTACTCGATATCAAAAAGTATCGATACTTTTTCCGTGTCCCTAGTCCTCTTTGAAAGTTAAATTTTTAAACTTAATTAAAACCAAAATGGAATTTTAAAATCTAAGACGTGCTTCACTGAAAAATCTACGGAATGTCGCGTTCTCTACAAAACACAACTGTTAGGTCCACATTCTGCTTTCAAGTTCCATAATCTTCTCGTCATGTGTTCGAAGAAATGAACAGATATGTCCCAATGAGTAAAATAAATAATTACTCTAATCCAGAGCCGGATTTATATTTTTTATGAGTGTACGCCACTTTATTTCCGCCGCCCCATGTACATACCTTTCTAAAATAATAATATTCCATTTGTAGTAAAGAAGGCCTTAAAGTTAAAAAACGAAAGAATTAGTCATTAACAGTGAGAGGTATAAAAAACCGTGAGAAACACAGTGAACATGTTTGACTTTTGTCTCCACTGAAATCTGCCGCCCCTAGGACGCTGCCGCCCCTAGGCCGCGGCCTATACGGCCTATTTATAAATCCAGGACTGCTCTAATCCGTGTACAGTATGACCAGTTTATTCTAAATCACTTGTCACGTACCTGTTACTTCTTTATTAATTTTATTCTCAGTTACAACAGGTCAACACATTAAATATAATCTCAGTATGAACAGCAAAATCAACCATTAAAATAATTACTCCTTATTTAGGCGCTATTTATAAAATGAGTCTTCATGCGTGAACAGCCACCCTTAGAGGCGGATGATTTACTTCAAAATTAAATGGGACCACAATGGAGGTACCCTCTTTCCAACAAAAAATCTTCAAAATCTGTTCACATATTTATTTATTTATAAAGAGTTATCTCGTAACATACTTGCAAATAAAACATACAGTCGAATTGAAAATCTTTTCCTTTTTTGAAGTCGGTTAATTAACCCGCTGAAGTTGGATTTTAAAGCAATTCCAAAAAAATTGATAACTTTCTAATCATTAATCATAGTAAAAAAATTTTAATGCTGCACATAATAGCTCGTTTTGATTAATACGCCACTAGAATTACTTTAATATTCAACTTCAGCTTTCTAGGTGAATAATTTTGTCAGAAGACATTTATCAAAATTTTAAACACTCTGTTCCGACCATTGCTTGTAACAGGCGTAACTTTAAATTTTGACAAAAAAAAAAAAGAATTTACTTCTCAACATCCGGACATAAATACTAAATTGAATTACGTAAGCAACATTTCTTCTGCCAAAGTTGTCAGGAAGTCCATTTGTGCTACATAATATGGAATCGTCATTGCCCCGAGCGAAGCTCATGTCGTGGGCACGGTGGGCACCAATAAAGCGAGAAACACACAGAGAGCCGGTGCGCGAGTCAGGTCGGGAGCGCGGCGGAACTGATTCCGTGTGTTTATATGGACGACAACCATCGAGTACATAACCAGAAATAGAGACGAAATAAGTGCCACCCAACCCTGGCAACTCATTAGGCAAATAAGCCTTATATCACTTTTAAATATCAACTGTCATTTGCACTGAAATCACAAATTAGAAAGCTGAAATAGTACAGCGCCAACAACTGACCTGTGTGTACGTCTCCGTATATTCCAAAAATATTCTGTATTTATTGTAATAAAGTAATATCTCTAACAATGGGGGCCTGTTCCATTCGGTGATGTGGGAAAAACAGCAAAGGATTTAATTACAAAACAAACGGAATCACATTTCATCGGTAATTAAATATTATATATGTAATTTTTCGTCCATTATAGCAAATCTCAAGTTAAACTAGTCGATTTGAAGTAAACCAATTGACGACACCCGTCAATTGTTTCGAATTTCGGCTGGCCAATCGCAGCGCAGTTGTTACCGTAATGATACAGCAGAATAGTTTTCAAATTTAATGACATTTCGTCTCTATTTTTAACCGACTTCAAAACAAGGAGGATGTTCTCAATTCGACTGTATGTTTTTATTTTGTATGTATGTTACGCGAGAACTCCGGTATTTGTGAGCCGATTTTCATGATTCTTTTTTTGTTGGAAAGAAGGTACCATGGTGGTCTCATTTAATTTTGAAGAAAATCATCCACCTCTAAAGGATCACGCATGAAGATACATTTCAATAAATAGCGCCTAGATTATAAGGTGCAATTATTTTAATGGTTGATTTTGCTATTCTTCAATTCAATTTCTTAACCGATTTTTATTATCTGCTAGTCTAGTCCCGTATAGTGGCGAACTAGGGGATGAATCCGGGTTTGCGCACTTTCCGGTAACCGATTTCAATAAAACTTGGTAATTATATGTAATTCCACGTACTTTTGAGGTCACTTTTTTTAGTATTCTCTATTGAGATTATTTCTGATTATATGCTCAATGACGACAACACATCGAGCGCGGGCGCGTCTGCCCGCCTTGCGCGCCCGTCTCTCGGCACTCAGTGTGTTTCACTCTTAAAGTTATACGTATAAACACAATAGGTTAAAAATGAAGTGTCATTACGATTTCGCATTGTCACACTACTGTCGCGCGTCATAAGTTTCCTAATGGGACCCACAAACGCTACGAAGAATCATTACGATCGAACATCACCGTTTGATCGGTACCGACTACTACCGGTTTATCGTAACGTGTGTATGAGAAAAGTGTACAGTTTTGTACGATTTTTCAAAACTATACCGTCGAACGAAACTGTGGTAGCCTAATGGTTTGACCTACTGCCTCTTAGAGGGTCGTGGGTTCGAATCCGGGCTCGCACCTCCGAGTTTCTCGGAATTTATGTGCGAAATTTTATTTGAAATTTATCATGAGCTTTTCGGTGAAGGGAAACCTGCTCGTTGAAAAGATTCACAACCCTCGGAAAAGGTGTGAAGTCCCCAACCCGCATTGGGCCAGCGTGGCCGACTATGGCCTAAACCTTCTTCTGAAAGAAGACTCGTGCCCAGCAGCGGGACGTATAAATCGATTGATAATGATGATGATGATGACACCGTCGAACGCAGCTAATATGTAATATCAAAATACTGTGTCAAGTATCAAGCTTCAAGTCTTTTAATTTGAATAGAATAGAAAATAGTAGAAAAATCATTTATACGACGAAGGCAATAACATGAAGAAAAAAAAAGAGAAATACAGAGGAAAAATTAAGCTTAACAAAAACACAACCAAGCATTGTATGCTACTCTGCATGCCCCGGTGAATAGATCACCAGCTCAGCATATGCGAGGCACAGTATACCCCGCGCTGATTTTCAGTTTGCAACCTTGCTCGATGTTGCACAACATTCAATAAAATTAAAATAGTAACAAATAGAGAACAATTAAGGGGTCATAATAATTACAAGAATACAATATTAGTATGTAAATATTCAACTACATAAATACTGATAAAAATAGGTGCAATGTGGTGGAATGTAACATAAGCCGGGATTGTCCAGAGACGAATAGGCGTGTCTAATACAACCATTCGAAACGTAGTCAGGAAATTCCTGCCAAGTTGACTGTTAGTCAGCTTGAATAAAATTTTTGAATTAGATTTTTTTTAAATTTATAATACTGGAATTAATGAATAAATAATAAAATTGTATTAAAATAAATTTTGAAACATTGAATAAAAATATAATAATATAAGTAGAATAACCTAAATAACAGATACATTAATATTTATATTTTCATATTTCAATTGTGAATCAAGAAGCAATTTTTTAAATTTATGCTTAAAACTTAGAATAATAACGCATAGAATGATAGTTTCATATCAAACGAACTGTCACAAGTGAGGCAAAAATCAAATTCATGTAGGCTAGTTTTAGTACTAGGTTAATTTTCGGTTTTAGTGAATATTTATATAAAAATACAAGTTGAAACGCGTTACTTCCTTGTGGAATGTGATGTTAGTATCTATTTTATGTTTGTCTGACGTATTTTTACACTCATTTACCGCACATTTCGTCCTTTTTAGCTAAAATTCTTGAGCTGTTCGCGGTGCAAGTTGACCTTGAGCACTGAAGGCCCGCCCGCTCGTGTAGGCCCTTTGGGGGCGCTTCAATTTGCCTCACTTAGCGTGTGCGGGCTAGGTTTCTAGGCGTTATTATTCTAAGTTTTAAAACTAATTTTGTTTGAAAGGTCTCTGATCGGCGGTGGAATATTATTCGGCCGTAACTATTGTGTATGTGTGGACATGAGCTTTTATGGGCCCCATGAGCCTCCTCACGAAGTCTCTCATTTTCGCCAGAGCGCAGTGCGCCCCGCGGGCCTTGACAAATGTGTCCTACGTGTCGCAGCGCGCGCCCAACAAACGCATGCTGGCGTTCGCGGGCACGCGCGACGCCGACGGATACATGGGCAAGTTCAGAGACGATGACTGGGACAAAAAGACCGCCATCTACCAGCTGCAGGTGAGCCCGCTCATCGTTGAGGCTGCTCTCAGTTGAAGGTCTAAATTGGTTTGAAATAGGTGGTAAAAGTGTCACCCCTCTCTTACTTAATTCTGTGTACCACTTTACATAGTCGGATGTCGTGGCGGGCTCGCTCTATTGATGAGTTAATTATATTCACGTATTAAAAAGGTAGAAATGCGATTATGGAGAATGCCTTTGACGCGCGCTTTGTCATTGCCCCTTAGACCTTTGCAATTTAATGCCCACGACTTGTTCGTGTCGTCACTTGGTATCATAAAAAAAGTGTCGGACGCAACAGTTAAAGGCGGCTTCACACGGCCTATTTCGCAAAAGTAAACGGGGCGGGGAAAAATTCTCTTTTAAAACAGTTAAAATTAGTTAACGAGTTCGACTTATCGAAGCTTACCCTAACGATGCATAGCTGAAATATCATTAAACATTTCAATATTCTAAGACTGGGTTATGGTTTTTTATGATATCTCAAAAATATTTAGTCACTTAGCTGCGTTTTTGATTGTGGCGTACGGGCGCGTTCGGGCGGCCCTCTTCCTTATAATTATTCCAATTTGAATGCTTGGGGTTGGAATGTAAAAGTGTTTTCACCATCATGTTACGGTTTAAAGGAAAACATCGTGAAATTATCTGCATATCCGAGGACGTAAAAACCCCAACGCATCTGAACCTCTCCTAAGAGGCGTTCAGCACTGACATGGATATGGGCTGATGCAGAGAAAACTAACATAATTTTACTTGTTTTCAGTTGGATGTGTCACCCGGTACGGGAACATACGAAGCTTCAATAACGTACATAAAGGCTGACGACAAATTTGTCGTCAACACGCGAGACATATCTCGCATCAACGCGTACCGGGACCAGCCTAGCTGCATCAGCGATCGCTTCCCCCATCTCAATAAATATTGCTATTGCAATAACCACACTGGAGACTGAAAACGATTAGGACTCTCATAATTAATTATTCGCAATTTGTTGTGTTGCACAATTTTGCTGCAAAATTTACTAAATTTCAGTTTCGCTACATTTCTTCTTTCAAAATTCGATTTTTTTGTTTTAACGATTTACTTGTTTGTGCAATATCGTCCTAGAACTCAGGTGCTAAGGTATTTTAAGCCTCCATTGTGTTTCTCTCATAAAGTATTCACTTTAGACTATGGTAATTTATTTACACTATGGTGTAATTGAAGCATTGCAATTGGGAACAACAAGGGCGTTCGGCACCCAAAGCCCGTTTTGATATTATTGCATCAAAACATAACACTATCTAGTATCTTGTGACAAAAAGTCATATCGACCTCCCTTCTAGATGGCGTAAGTTTCATTCATTTAAAAGGTGGCGCTCCGCCCATGTGGCATAGATTATAAATGTGTGTTTGAATTTCGGACACGTTACCACTAGCAGGTTGTAAAAACTTATTTTAATATAAAAAAATGTCTGAAACGTCTGACTTCATCCTCAACGTGAAGTATCTAGGAGGCCAGTGAGACCAGCTGAAGATGATACTGTCCATTCATTTCAATAACTTTTAAAATTTCCTTAAAAACCAATAATAAAACGAACGCCCCATTAATTTACCGGTTTAATGGAACAAGGGCAGATAACACAAGGAAAAAAAAACATTTTCAAATGTTTCTAATCGTTTTAATCTAATAATAACATCTGAATCCTTTAGCTAAATCATAGAACAAATAAATAATAAAGTATATTAGGTCGCGAGAAGCCGATGGATGCGGGCAGCGCATGACCGATCGTCGTGGAGATCGTTGGGGGAGGCCTATGCCTAGCAGTGGGCGACGTATGGCTGAATGATGACATAAGAGTCATATTATAAATATTAAAAAAATATAAGGCATTAAAACTTCATTTTAAATTTTCTCGAATCTCACTTTTACGTGATACGCCCTTGTTACACCCAATGCTTCAAATACAGACACATTATGGGACATGTTAACTTGTGTCTCGGGGTGACGGGCGCAGTGGCAGTGCCCCTCAGATCTTTACGATTCAAAGCTCTGAATGGCACTGCAACTGTTTTGGACAGGCGTGTAGCTTACCAGCACGACTTGTTCGTCCCATCACTTGATATTATAAAAAAAAACTTTATAAATCAGTATTTTTATATTCAATTAGTTGCGTTTAATGTATTAACTAAAGTATTCGTAATCTGTTTTTTTAACTTTTGTATTATATTTTCATTTTTGAATGATACTTCTGTAATATTTCATTAGCCTGTGATGTTTTTTATATTAAAAATATAATTACACTTTTCAAAAGACTCTTGACTACCTTACTACGCACTTTCAGTCACGTTCTGCATAAATCAGAAAGAAAACTGGCCACTGGTCGTGCTTGGTCTTTCCTTCCACAATCCCGGGGCGTATCACTCCCTTACATTGGCCCCTGATTAATTATGTCCTTGTCCAGGTCTGATTTACTCTGGCTAGGTGTGGTGCCTATGTACAATATTTAAAAAAAGGGTTCATAATCACATACGTCACATGCGGCCTAAAGCGGGTTCCACAGGGCGACTTGTTCATCCCGTCACTTGGTATCGTAAAAAAAAACGAATGCACACGAAACAATACGAAGATAGCCGAATCTCCAATCTCGTATTCGAGTAGTTTTGCTGAAATGTGCAGCCCGCTTTCGAGTTTCTTTGGCGTTGCTCTCAAAAGAATCTGCCTTACAAATAAGTAGTGTGTTTATTTTTGAATTTCACGATTAGTTTATTCAATTTCAAGTAGAATAAGTTTACCTATGAGATACCTAAAGATGTTTTGACTTTGCATTTTGAATATGTAATGATGACAAAGACTCAATCGGTAACAGTAAAGATATCTAAGTAAAATGGTATTCCATTCACATGACAGATGCGTGGTCGTGTAAACCGAATCAAAAGACTTGCCTTGTTCGACGTAATTACGTAAATGCTCCGAAGCCGACGCCACGGAAACAGCGAGTCTATAGTCTGTCTTTTTTTAACACGGAGTAAAATGACAGTTCACTGTGCAAAAGTGTTGCCCGCTTGCGAGCAGCTAGTGATTGCAGTCGATAAATATTCTATCGACTATGGACTGAATATTGGTCACGCTTATAGCCGAACTTGTTTCATTTGAATCATCCTCGACCCGTTACTCGTCCAATTACTGAGCACAAGTGCATTGTCAATTTTTGTAAGTTCATACATTCACTGTATTCAAAACTATGTTTATAAAAAATACAAAGAGGTGACATTTTCTTAAATTTTTCGTCTTCATTCAATCATAGATCAAATCCGGCTATTCTTGGTATATGAATAAAAATTGATCTCGGTACTATTAGGCCAACTGTCAAAATAAGAATAAAAAAGGCAATAACGCAATTAGTAAAAATTAGAACGTCATAACATTCACAAGTCAGTCATTTTTGGCAAAATTTTATCTTCTTTCACAATCTATCGATGAAATTATGGACAACGACTACATAACTATTTAAAATTGACGAAAACTAGCAACCCTACAAATGTCATTTTACTCCGTCTTCAATAAAAGACAGACTATAGGTGAGAAAAAGGCAAAACGCAAACACCTTTACAAACTCCACAAATATACAAATTATAATATATTTTTTAGTCAGTTTGGTAACTTTCGAGATATTGGACTATAAAGTTTTTTCTTTGGAAAATTGCGCTGATTTTGCTTAACAATAAAACTGATACTAAATAAGATATAAAAAAACCGCTTTAAGGGAGTTTTAGATCTCGTTTTGATGATTCCAGATATGTTAATAACTCAATTTCGGTAAAAATGTCGATTACGCTAGTATTGATAAGGGGGCAGTACTGAGGTACCCTCTTTCCAACAAAAAAAGAATCATCAAAATCTGTTTCCAAATGGAGTTATCGCGTAACATACATATAAAAAAAGTACAGTCGAATTGAGAATCTCCTCCTTATTTTGAAGTCGGTTAAAATTTAAAATCCCTCGGTAATTCCAAATCCAAAACAAACAAAAGCAGTGTTTGGATGTAAGAAATACAGAAACTAGTGGCGGTCACGATTGTGTCTATTATAATTATTTTTATTTAATTCTACAACAACCGCTTTCTACATACCTACACATAGATACATAGACAACTTAGAATTAGATCTCGAAATTGTTGTGAAAATTTATATTTACTTTTCTACTTTACAACAGAAGTTTCGTAACAATTTTCAAGTTATTTTTTTTTAATTTGAGACTACTTTCAAGAAAAACATTGAGTGATGCTTTGCTTCTGTTCGTCCCGCTCCCGCTTCTGCCTATGCCTACTCGCCGCTCTCCTGGCTCCAACGAATAGTTCCCACTGAGTCTGTGCGCGTGAGCATTCATTGTACTGTTATATCAGAGGTGAAATTAGTCTCCCATGCTAATAAAAACTGATTGTGATCTACGCCGTTATTACGCCGAATGAGAATCAGTCTAGAGGAGGCGATTTTTTTAAAGGTTCCGTACTTAGAATAATAACGCATAGAATGTTAGTTTCATATCAAACGAACTGTCACAAGTGAGGCAAAAATCAAATTCATGTAGGCTAGTTTTAGTAGTAGGTTAATTTTCGGTTTTAGTGAATATTTATATATAAAATACAAGTTGAAACGCGTTACTTCCTTGTGGAATGTGATGTTAGTATCTATTTTCTGTTTGTCTGACGTATTTTTACACTCATTTACCGCACATCTCGTCATTTTTAGCTAAAATTCTTGATCTGTTCGCGGTGCAAGTTGACCTTGAGCACTGAAGGCCTGCCCGCTCGTGTAGGCCCTTTTGGCGCGCTTCAATTTGCCTCACTTGGCGTGTAAGGACTAGGTTTCTATGCGTTATTATTCTAAGGTTCCGTATACATAATTATATTATTATTGTACGCCTACTGCAGGCAACAGTTCTACAAAAAATGTCAATAATTAACCCATTGAGGAATTCTTCACCTTTTCAGTAGCAACAGAGCTGCTTGTAAAAGAGTTTGTCCAGGAAAGTGTCTGTCACTGAAATAGGTACTATTTCAAGCGCCAAGCAGTAATGTGAGCATTACTGCATTCTGGTTTTCAATGAGTAAGGGTGTTGATGAAATTACAGGCACATGGGACTTGTGTGTGTGTCTGATCTTTTTTAGGAGAATGGCACTGCAACTGTTATAAACAGGCGTGTCGCTTAACAACAGGTGCACGACATGTCCTTCAAAAAACATCACTGAACATTCTACCTCCTTACCTACATGAACCTCACCATGCCCAAGTTAAAGTCAATCTGTAGTCGAATGTAAATTTTACATAATTTGTTTTTCCCATTACGGAGCAAACCAATATAGTATTGTTCACATCGTCATAGGAACATTGTTATTACCAGCAAACAATGCTATCCCATGTTCTATACCCACTATGTGGCTAGGTAAGTCATTAATACAAACTAAAAATAAAAATGGACCTAAAACTGAACCTTGAAGGACGCCAATGCAATATGTGAAAAAAAAGCCGTAGTAGCCTAATGATTTGTTCTACAGTTTCTCAAGCAGAGGCCGTGGGTTCAAATCCGGACTCGCACTTCTTCTTCTCGGAATCTAAAAAACATGACCTTTTCGGTGAAGGCAAATCACCGTGATGAAACCTGCATGTCGGATAAGGAATTAAGTAATTGGAATTAAGTAATCTGTGACCATAGCCCAAACCCCCGCCCAGCAGTGGGTCTTGTTGTTAATGTTTTTTTTTGAATTTTTTTTTACAATATCAAGTGACAGGACGAACAAGACGTGCGCCGGATGATACGCTACACACCTGTCCATAACAATTGCAGTGCCACTCAGAGCTTTAAATTGCAAAGATCAGACACCCTGAAACATAAGTCCCATGTGCCTGTAATGTCACCAGCACCCTTACCCTTGAAAACCGGAATACAGTATTGCTAATATTACGCTTGGTGGCAGAAGTAGGTAAGGTGGCAGTACTTCCCTTTACTTAATTCATATACCATGGGTACGGTGACATTTGAGATGTGAAGTTTCTAGAGATGTAGTGATGTAAAATCGAATGAAAAAAATCTATTTAAATGTCTTATCGAGATAATAAATAGATAGATAGATAGATAATAAAATGTAACGAAGTGGGAATTGATTTAGAGACTTTTTTTTTTTTTTTTTTTTTTATTAATAATGGACGAACTCTTGACCACTACCTAGCCCTAGAGCAAAGAAGAGGTCTACGTTGGTACGAGCTCGCCCAGAAGATGCCTATTCAATCGCACCTTGAAAATATTCGGGTTGTATGTACTCGGAAAAATAGACGCAGGCAGGGAATTCCAGTCACGGGCTGTGCGCATTATAAAAGATGACGAAAAGCGCTTAGTACGACTTAAAGGAATATCAACCAGGTGAGGGTGATATCCCGCCGTTCGTCTAGATGTCCGATGGTAAAAGGGGGCGGATGGAATGAGCTGGTGGAGCTCATGGGCACACTCTCCGAAGTATAATCTGTAAAAAACCGACAGACCCGCGACCTTTCGCCGATGGGCTAAACTATGAAGTTTATATTCGAGCTCATCGTCGCCAATAAGCCTCCTGGCTCTGCGATCAATCGAGTCAAGAGCCTCTAGTTGGTATTTCGCTGAGCCATCCCACAGGTGACTGCAATACTCCATGCAAGACCGGACCTGCGCTTTATATAAGGTTAAAAGCTGTCCAGGCGAGAAGTATCGCTTCACCTTGACTATAGTTTAAGAGCAAATAATAAACAAATTAAAAAGG